CAAATACTGTAAACGGGATGTTCGACTGATCTCTCAGTCTATCCTAGTATCTTTTTACCATCTTTTACAACCAGTACCAAGCATCAATTTGTACTTCAAGTTAACAGCGATCAGGCAAAATTAAAGAAAAAGGTCATTCTCTTCACAATTGCTTTATATGTTTATAACATCCTCTCTAAAATGACAAATATTCTGTCAGTATAATGCACATGTCATATACTAACCTTACCTCAGTTCCGGTCCATCAGATACGAGTTGCAACCTGAAGACAATCTTAGGTTCACTGACTCTGCCCGTAGATAAATTATTATTCCACATACGCTATCCAATATGAACAACACCTTGTGAGGTGATAAGTACGGCTGATACGACATGGTAATGCTAATATCAAAATTTTAATCACCATCTACTGCACAAATTAGCCTGCTATTGATAATGCCGGAACCTTTTTCCTCCCACAAATTAAGAAATAATTCTTTTATGATTTTTATCATCTCTATGGCAGAAACATTTATTCACACGTTCGAACTGAAAACTCTCCAGAACTTTTTCTTTTCGTCCGGCCGGAGTAAACTTTGACACTTGTTCATCAACTGTTTTCTTGCAGGTACCTTTCATCCTTAAAGAAAGCACCGTCAATCTTATTTTGAAGGCTTCCAAAGGTCACACCTTTTCCACTGAATGCAACTGTTTTTTTTTTTCCAAAATAATTTTGCCGATGAAAAGATTTGAGGGTTGCTTAATAGTTGTGAGGTATAATAAATGCGTAAACCTCCACGGATGTTTCCAATTGGACAAGGTTACTTAGTAACCAGAAAAACGGCTACGCGGCGAGACAATTCTTAAGGGGCTTTTCAACTACTCCAGTTTGAAGGGCGCAGGTTTTACAAGGGAGGAATGGTATAAGATAACTTTTATGACCAGTGTACACTGTTAGAGCGTATATAAAAGATGCGTGCTGTATCTGAACGTAGCAAACGATTATCAACAATATAGGTGTCTCACGGTAACATGGTCATTTAGACCGTCTGACAAGATTCCGCGGGACGGTCGTGAGTTTAATTTTCCTCTGAGGACGTAAATTATTTCTTTGTTTCACTTTCAAGTTGCTTAAAGAGCTTCCGTTTATTTATTATTTATCAAATAAGCTTTCGTTATGCCCTATTTACTCAGATTGTTCCAATTATTTTATGACTTCCGAGAGTAGAAAACAAAGGAAAGTTTAATTTTTTTGGAACTGAATGTTACTTGCGTAATTGAAATTGATCAAATTGTAGCCAGCAAAATCAGTAGCCACTTATCATGCACCTCTGAAAATCGTGTTCCATGAAGACGTGTCGCGTTGGCGTTGAACGCACGCAATGGCGGACGCGCTTTGAGCTGCTGAAGGTCGACAAAGTTGCCTTTTGCTGCCACGGGAGCGGATTCTGGTCATCATGATTTGGAATGTTAGTTATCCTAGGTGTGCCACTTTCCTGCTTTTAGTAACATACTCTTTACAAAATTATTATTTATTGAACTAATGTACTAAACTGGAGAAAGAATTTAATAAAATGCAAAATACAAATAGAAATTATGAATGTAGCATGTCCTAGATAGGTGTTCACCCTTGTCCTTTTAACATCTTATTTTAAGGTTTTCCCTTCTTTCTCAATCTCGCGCTTCTGCAGGCACTTTATCTGAAGGCCTTAAATGTTTTGTCGCTCAGAGCGTGTGTTTGAGAAGGTCGGACGCGTGTTAACCTAATTTTTCACTTTTCGTGCCGTCAGAAACCGTTCGTGGCACATGCAGTATCTCGTGCAGCTTCCTCTATCTCGCCCCATTTGTGAAAGTGTACTCGCTTTCTATGCTGTCTCTTGTATTTGGTGCCATATATCCTAATAATAATAATAAATAATAATAAAGGTTTTATTAATGTGTCAAAAGCCTAGCTTACACGGAGTGTAAACTAATTGTGGACACCTAACTACCTAACTACCTAAAAAACTAGACAAAGATAAACAAACTCGGAAACCCTGCCCGCTTCATTAATTATTATAAGAGTTACACAGGTGACACTTCTTACAGCTGTCAGTTCTCAGGAGGTTTTCAATGTCCACTTTTCTCACCTGGTTCTTCAAAGAAGCAAGGGTTACAGAACTCTTAATGTGTATACCACTTAATTTGAACCATATTACAGGACCAATATATCTAATACTGTGTTTCCCAATAGGTGGTGGTATTTATTCTTGGAATCATACTGAAAATGTCTGAATTTCTCAGGTTATAACTTCGGTTGCTTAAATTGAAAACATCGAAAATTTATCTAGGGCGTAATTTATACTTGACTTTGTACAATATTATTATATATTATCTCGTGCAGCCTTCTGTTTAGCAGTGAGGGGAGTTTAGCCTTTACAAGACGTTCATCGTATGCACTACTTTTATCACAATATATATACTGAAGCGCTCTCTCTTGGAGTCTCTTAATCTTCCGGCTATCAGATTTTCTACAAAAGTGCCAGACCGTCTGACAATAAGTTAATTGAAGCAGAATAAAAGATTTGTAAATTCTTAGCTTTGCTAATGTTGGTATTGAATTTTCGGTCTCATCAGGACCCCTATTTTCCTAGATATTCTTTTAGATAGTTCATCTAAGTGGTCAGTAAACTTCAGATGCCTCATCAAAAGTGACACCTAATAGCTTCCTTTCTGGACCACTTTCTAGATAATTTTCGAGGACTTTGATCGTCATTACTTCGTTAATGTGCCCCTGCCTTAAACTAATCGACTGGAACATTACATTTCAAAAAATTGAAACTTCCCTTCCCTCGTCTGTGAAAGTCCTTTCCACCTCTTCCATCTTTTGAGTAGCATAATCTAACTACCCGCCTCGATTGCTACTTGCGGGCCGGGATACTTTTCCTTTTCCAATTCATGCTATGATTAAGTTGTCGTTGGACAACAGGGGCCCGGCTAGAGTTTTTATGACGTTGTTATCGTACACAAGACCTAACCTTAACCGAGACACAGTGGATAGCGGCTTGCAATCGATAGACACCTGAATGGGAAAAAACTTCCACGAATCAAACCAAGCGAGACAGCCAAAAGAACGATGCCAAATTTGAAGTTCGCCACCTTCCCGCTAAAATGCGGAGAAAAGAACCAGCAACAACAAGAAATGGGTTGGAAAGTGGAACAAGGCAAAGAATTCATCGATTTTATAAAGGATTACAGGACCTGGCTTACGTGGGAAGCCCACACCCCCGTACCGAAATGTCTCTATTTATACCACATTATGTTTTTCTCATCTTCTAGGATCTTCCTTCCTCCTATAAGTTCCAATGTCAATCGCTCAATTTGAATAACTTCCCACGCCCCTACGTACTTCTTTTCAACGGAAGAATCAGCCTTCTTTTGATTAAATCAAGATCATTCTCTTTTGAGCTTAACCGATGCATTTCTAATCCTAGAGTTAACAAAGTCATAAAAAATGGTGATTACAAAGACGTGACAGGGATGATTAAAGAGCTCTATGTGCTATCTCAGGGACTTAACGACTTTTTCACCCAGTGCCAGACTGCAAAACTCTTCCTCTTTTTTCCTCAAAATCGAATTTGCGTAGCCGAAGAGTCTCTCGCTGCCCGTTTATATCCTCGCTCCAGACTTTTTTTTTGACTGCTCGCGCGTACTTGAATACGCAAAAATACGGACTGTTTGCAGTCTAACCTGGTACTTAATGGGTAAAACAAAAATTTTCATGTTACATTATTTCGCCTGCGATCATACCCTCTCTATTTACCTCTTATGAACGTGTTCTCGGAAATATCAAGCCAGATCGCAGGTTATACATAGTGACTATATATAAAAGCAAGAAAAACGAGAAGAATTTCTCCGTCAAATCATTGTTTGAACAAATAATAATTAATAATTATTGGTGTTCAGTTTAAATCATATTTCATTTCAAATCTTGCTAACAGATGTGAGCACGTTTGTCTCATAGTTGTGCTACAGTCAGTTAGGCTGGATTGGAAAAGAAGCCATTTTCATTTTACGGTAGCTACACTGAACTACTGGAGACCATTTTTTTGTTCGAATAAGCTAATAACAAATTTCCGAAGCATTCTGGAAGTTTTAGAAAACTCGTTTTCAAGGCCTGTCTTTTCTTCCACTCTCTCCGGCGGTAAAGTAATGAAACATCCGCTAATAAAAAACTGGACAAGTTTAAAGAACCTGCAGGCAGGAAAACCTATTCAATATCAATTCAGTAGCCAAGCAAAATCAAGCAGGTTCTTATATGGGGGTTACAGGTTGTTGAGATAAACATTTTAACCAAGAAGTTTGACCTCGAGGCTGCCATTTGATATTACAAAAAAAGATACCGCACCAAACTGTACTAATTATAAATAGAAGTATTTCTGTAATTCCTACAACGAAAAAAGATTTATACAAAGTACAGACTGTAATTATCTTCATGGACCTTCAATACAAATTTCTTTTATTTTTCGGTAGTAAATGAAACAACTATATCTCCTTCATAGAAATTAAGAACCTATTTCACCTCAAAAAATGTAGGTTCTTCTCTTATTAGCGGGTGTTTACTGTAACTTGGGCCATCTGCTCCTACCTCAGTAAATCATCACTACTTTGAAAATCGAGGTATTTAAGAATCAACAAGAGAACTTGTATTTTAACGAAATATTTGAAGCTTGGTGGAGAATTGCTGACTACTCCTTAAGCTTCCTTAAAAGATAAATGCTTTTTTCCTTTTTCCGGTCAATTTCATAGCGAATCGTATCTACTTCGCTCCCTGAATTCATGCTTATTTTCCTTTAAGTAGTTTTCACGGTTAAATTAAGGCAGGACGTCTTTCTTCAGTATAAATACTACACACTTCCTGATTATAACTCCGCGTCACGACTCATGTGCATTGTTTCTTGAGGCTTTCGGTCACCGGGTCCCGATTTGTTCCTAGTCCCGTACAGGGACTAGGAGGTCGAGACTGCAGACAAAATCAATATTCAAACGTTTGTTTCATAAAGAAGATTACCAACGTCGCAGCTATACACTACATGTGAGTCTGTCACATAAGACTGTCGTGTTCTAATTGCTCCTTCTCTTTCCATGTCAAGGTTGGTGTCCTGTGGTAGGTCAACACACAATCGAGACAACCAAGTGGAAGATCCGTTCTCAGTGACGGCCTTACAGCAACAGGCAACCCATCGAGTGATTAATCTGCCTCGGACACTCTTGAATATGAAGGGATTTAATGCGCTGTTTGAGTACATCAAAATGTTGGCAAAGATCAAGATATCTGTAAAATATTTGTAATTTTTCCCTTGAGCGAAATCGTGCCAAATCCATACCAGGTGTGTGGGTAGCATGCAGATGAAAAAAGCCACTACAGCTGTGATAAAGATCTTTGTGACTTGCAGTTTCTGAATAGTTCGCTTTTTTATGTAATTCGATCGCGATCGCTCATTACCCTCAATCATATCGTCGAGTTTTTGTAGCTCCATCTGGAGTTTTCTCTCTGCCAGAAAATACGACGTTGCGATAACAGTAATTGGAATCACAAAAAATATGGTAAAATTTGTCAGTGTGAAGACTTTGACATGCCATTTCTCAGACCACTTCTCCATGCACTGTGCTCCGTCAAGTTTCAGTACAAAAGCGTATGGTATGGTAATCAATGTCGGAGCTATCCATGAAACGCAAATTGCAATTTTTATTGTTCTTGGTAGAATCCTTGGACGCATCGTTTTCATGACGATTCGCCGACGTTCCAGGCTCATGGAAAGCAACGTGATAACAGAAACAGCCATGAGAACGGTTTGTAATGGATAAACCAGGAAACAAAGAATCTCACCAAATGGAAAGCCTCCAACGAAACGCTCGGCCAAGTCAAATGGAATGCTTACAGCACAAGTTGCCATGTCTGTTATGGCCAAGTTGAGGATAAGATATTCACAGACTCTCAGGTTGTTACGGCTTAATAGTTTATGAAATATCACGCCGTTTGCTAATATTCCAACGAGTGAAATGAAAAGCAGAAGAGATATTCCAATAACGCGAATTGCAGAAAGCTGTACATGTGATGTCGAGTTCTCTCTTTTGTTCGTTTCATTGTTGAGTACATCCATTGTTTAATCTTCATTCATGCAGGAACTGGCCTTCCCAATGTGGTTGTCGTTTTCGTTTTGAAATCTATATACGCTAAATACCTAAAAAACGCAAAACGTGGATTAGTTACACACTCAAGAACGACCTTCCTACCAATGGTCTCTGAAATCAGGCACAAAAAATGATTATATATTCTGGTTTTGATGAAAAATACGCTTGAATGAGGGTCTGGGGGGGGGGGGGGGGAAAAAATGGTGTTTTCGTTTGTAAAAAAAATTGGCCATTTTATTTTTGTTCTTTTATATAAAAGAAATATTAATATTATAAAATTATTCTGATTTTTTTTTTTTTTTTTTTAAATTTTATTGCAAATTATTCAAGCCGAAAACAAAAAAAAAAACAAAAGAGGTATAAATCAAACACACAAAACCACCCCTTCTACATTTGTTGTGTAAAAACGGGAAAAAAAATTTTTATTTTTTTGGGGTTTTTAAAAAAAAAAGGGTTTGGGGGGGGGGGGGGGGGGGGGGGGGGTACAAATGTCAGTTTTCAGTTGTAAAAAAATTTGGCCATTTGTCAGTTGTCAGTTAAATGAACATTAATTATTAACTATGAAACTTACATGCATTTGTTTATTTTTTTAATCGAAATTTAGCTCAAAGGGACCGTGACACGCTTCTGCGCATGTGCGGCGTCTTGATTTCTGGTCTGGCGAACCTTTCCTCTTCCATCGACCGACCCTGAGACGCCCGAGAAAGCTATTATATCAGTATTCAAGAGCTATTTGGTCTATTTTGGAAGTTTTAAACACCATCTTTTGTATTTTTGCGCAAACATAGTCGAGAAAATTCGAAGTCATTGAGGATAAACATGAATTATGGTGATATATAAAACCCAACAAAAACGTCCGGAAGTCTCCCGCCTCTCGAACTACGAATTTTGAATTACTTAAAAAATTTCCTTGCATGCATCTAATTCGCTTCCGATTGGTTTAAAAACAATCAGCTACTGTCACGGCTCACACATGCGCACTATCATCACTCAGTGCCTTTAAAAAGCGCAAATAATGTAAACTAAACATTTTAAATTCGAAAACTCGGGTGCAATGGTGTGTTAAGTTTTATCAGTTTTTGCTATCGAAAGCATTTCAAGTGGCCCTCAATTTCTTATAGTCTTGTGCCACTCTCCTCCACACAAACGTTTTAACCCGGCCAGAGTCCAACTTTTCCAACCATTTTTTTTAAAAAGGCAAAATTTATACCGCTTAAGGACGTAGATCGTAAGAAAGACCAAAAAAGACCCTATCTGAATTATCTCGCCTCTTTAGCAGCCATCCTGTTTGCTGGCGCGTTCTGAGAGGGGGCGTAAATTTGAGATCATTAGTCATTTACAACGGATATGATGGTACATAAACCTGCGAACCGAAGACGTATTTCCGGTCGTCGCATCTCTCCGGAAATACGTCTGCGGTTCGCAGGCTAGATGGTACATGACACGCATGGGACTTACAGTAAACCATATGAACAAAATATGACACTTTTAAAGCGTCCTGCTGCTAAAATTACCCATAAAAACCACGATAAACGCACATTTTATCACAGTGTCTTACAAAAAGAGTGAAACAATGCTATTGAAAGGCCTCAAAAAGGGTCTTGCAGAAGATAAATGACAATCAGGTCCTTTGTCATTTGTCAGTAAAACCCAAGGCAAATGTCAGTCGTCGGTTAAATTTTGGGTGATTTGTCAGTTGTCAGTTAAAATTTTGGCTATTTGTCATCGGTTGTCATTTAACCCCATCCAGACCCTCTTGAATAATCAAATAGTTATTTCACTTCTTGTGGAAAAACTGGCCTCAATTTATGCTTTTTTTGGTGCAAAATGCTAATTTAATTATTTTTCTCTTTGTTACTTGCTGGAGGGTTTAGTAAATCATTAATGATACCCTTTTCTCGTAGTCTCTGCAGTTACACAAGCTTACTATAGGTTACGCTTTGAAAATTTTCTGGGAACACTACTGTTGCGGATTTTCCTAAAACTGAAGTAGCTATTTTAATTTCGCGGTCTAACATGCCCTCTCCGAATTAAATCAGTTTCCACTGAACAACTGTCGAAAAAGATACCTTGTCCACCTGGCAGTTGATTGATTGATAATCTGGGTAAGCTCTCCAGCCCGAACAAAAAATATCGATTGCTACTCGCTAAGTTACAGCAAGTAGTTAAGGATGAACGCTTAAAAACATTGCTCAAGGGGTATTTATGGGGTAATTCATTCAAAAGTGCGTGTCTACCTTTAAAAAATTCAAAATTTGGAAAATTTAAAATGGCTGGAATCGAAATGTGCCTAAAATTCGTTTCTTTCCAAGGCAGCGCACATTTCTAGTTATTTTATGGAGGCGATTGCATTTTATGAAAATCGGCAAGTTGTCCCTCTTTGATTCGTGTCCGAAAACTCGATTTCTTAAATTGGATTTAAGTTCCGCTTATGTCTTACCCCTTTGGCCTTAAAGGTGATGTGACACGAGACGATTCACGATGACGATTTTTAGCGCAACACAGCGTTGCAACATTGTTGCGACATTGTTTCGAATGGTTACAACTTTGTTCCAGCATTGCAACGCTGTGTTGCGCTAAAAATCGTCGTTGCGAATCGTCCCAGTTGTAACATCACCTTAACTGTCCTTCGCCGCTTTACCCCACCTGGTTTAAATCAGCATCAACATTCAATCCACCTGTAACGGGCGGAGTCTCTGTCTGTAAAAACCGAAATTTGCCAAAACGGTGTCTTCGGCACTAAGAGAGTAAAATTTGAAAGAAATTAACGATCTTACTTAACTTGCAGCGATTATGCATATTTTAACGATGGCGTATTTTTAATTCGTGGATTACTTGTAGCGTTAGGAGCGCCGGAGTTATTGTCGGCCCCGCGATATGCAAATGTGTCACTAAGGGGTAGACACTTTCGGAATTAGTCGCCTCGTACGAGAGCGCCCGATATCGAAACGACAATTGTCGTAGATCGATCGTTCCCGAACGTCCCCGCGATAAAGAAGTGCTGAGCGTGCATTGTGCCCAGAGCTTTCGAGGTTATGATTTTGTAGCTTCATAGGACGGTAAGTTGTCGTCATGTCGACTTCGAATGTTTCAAATTAGTACTATGCTTAATTACTTGGGACAGAATTGAGCCAATGTTTTAAGACAGGAAACTCAATGCTAAAGTGAGTAAACAATAGTTCTCTCCAAGTAGGCACTAGCCGCATATAGGCACCCACTGTCACATATGTTCCCTGGAATGATGGAATACCCAGAAAAGTCCAAGCTTCTTCTCATATGTTTTTATCGTAAAATATGTCCAACGTAAACCGGCAAACTAAGCCCTGCAATGTAGCCTTGTGAGAGAGATTTTGTACTATATGACCCATGTTTTGAACAGACTAATACCAGTAGACTATTGCTAGTTAATTCTAACAAATTAACAATCCACGAGTTAGCCAGAGGCACCCTTTGACTTCTGTATGATATTTCTTTCGTTTTGTTTCGTTTTGTTTTCATGACGGGGCTATGAACGTTTAGCATTTTTCTGGTGCGCACTTGCGTAGGTGCAGAGGGTGATAACGACCATTAACCCCATTGAGACGTTCTTGGAAAAATCGCTCTCTCCTGCACCACAGCGAAACTTGACACTAGCTTTTGAGAGCACTGAGTGCTTTGCATCAGTTTTCTTGTCACCACAGAAATTAATGTTTCCATGTTATTAGACGTTTCGCTAGAAGGACTAAAGAAGAAAGCGGGAGCCCAGTTCTCTGGATTCAGTTGGCTAGTCGGAGGCATCATTAATTCGGGTCACGTGGTCCAACTGAGAATTTTTTTCCATCCCGGCCGTTTGCGTATCGGATAGGTCACAGAAATGCATTGACCGAGAAGGCATGGGAGGACGTCGTACACAACCGACACAGGACAGTGAAGGGAATGGATTTAGTACCTCTATTGTTCTCTTACCAGGTGTCTTAATCACAAGCTTTGCGAGAGATGTGTGCGCTAAGAACTAAGGCAACAGCTAAGCTGTCTTTAGAAGGTGTGACCTTCTGGTTTTAACTCTATTAAGTAGAGTCAAATGCCCCTTATATAGAAAATGAATCTTTTAGTATAGAAAATCCCAAGCACGACTCAGAGCAAAATTTGAGACAAGAATTGAATTTCGTCCGAATCGCTCGAACTTTATAAGCGATACCTGGTTGTTACGTATTCCCAAGGGAGAATTAAGGCTGGCAGTCCAGTCCCTCGTCCCCATTCAGAGAAGGATTGACTCGCTCGGCGCTTGATGGTTTTATTTTCTTCCGATAATACTTTAAAAGTACGTGGGTTGATGTTGTGACGCGTTGCATGGCATTGCTCTCAGACAGTTTGCTCTGAAGTCTTGGAATTTTCTATGCTACAAAATGTCTTCGCCAGAGCAGGTGAAAAACCTGATTGGCTAAAGTAGATAACACTGTTCAGTAAGAAAGGTGGTTGTCTCAAAACCTAATTCTTATCATCAACACTCACACTGATAACTCTTGGCTCGGTGACCACCTGTATAGATCGGTGGCATGGTCAGCTAAGTCAAGGTTGCTAAAGGTATAATGTAAAATAAACATGCCAACTTGGCACAATCTCAGTGCGTCAAGAAATGTAAGATACACGAAAAACAGCTAAAACAGTTTCACTTGATTTTCACTATTGTTCGCAAAATTCAACACTACCACGCAGGCACGAAAAACAGACGAAACAGATTTCCAATACAGCGGTTTGCTTTATTATTTCTCATAAAAAATCAGCTGTGCTTTTTTGAAGAGCTGTGCGTCTCGATAACCAGTTTGTTAGCTACACTCGACTCGATCACGAAACCCGATGTACAGACAAGACCCTATATATTACAACGTATGTTAGGTTCGTTTGATTTCCGGTAACAGTTTCTCGTTTTTTGGTTTTCTGGACATCTTAATTTCGTTGAAATTTTTAAATTCTTTTCCAGAAACTCTTAGCTCAAGCGCAAGTCTCTCGCCTCTGTGAAAATGTGCGACAAAACCTGTACGTATACGGCAGAAAAGGATGCGATGTACGTACGTGTTATCAGAGCTAGTGGTATTTTTTTCGTAATTACTGACTTAAACGTTCCTAATGTCTCAAGGACATATTTTAAGCAAAGGCGAACCTTTTTGGTGGTTCTAAGAGAAATCCTCAAGAGTGATCATTCCATCATAGGAGAAGTCTATAAATGTGAGACTTCACACTTAACAGAGCCGGTACTCAGTCTGAGACTAAATCATAAGTCAGTGGAATTCATTTAAACATTGCAAAGCAATGTTCTCTTGCATTTTGCAGTTTCGTGATGTTGACAAAATTGAGGTGGCTATTGACAAGAACTGATTAAAAACTACAAAGCACCTCTCTTTGTTTTTCGGCCAAATTTAAAAAGCTGTTTAATTTGCACTTTAAACGCTGTTGGAAGAGGTACAGGACGAGAGTCAATATATACATGCCCTGCTCTCTGCTTGACGTCTCAGGGGTATCTTCCGCGCGCGACTTATCTATGTTTGACAAAAAAAACTCTTTTTGTTTTTAATTTTTATGTATTTCAATCATCTGAATCACTATTTCACATCCTGGCAAAAGTCATAAGCACGAGTTTTGCGTAACCCTGCTGACAAACTAATCCGCCATTTTAAAATCCTCTTTACCAAGAAAATTTACTTTCTACGCCGCCATTGCAATAGAAGGAAATAAATGCAATTAAAACAAACTAGTTTCAAAGAAAGTTGTTTTTCTTTTAAAATTTACTGTGCTGTATATAGAAAGTTACACTTAAGAAAAAAACAGCAGATTGCTTACCTAAAATGAATTTTGAATCTTCTCAGTTTTTATCCGTCTCTACAACAGACGAAGCCTTTCGCGGCTAATTTATTACTATATCATTTTTTGGAAATCACCATCCTCCGTTTCAAGTCTTCCGTCTGCTTGGCCAATTTAGAACTTTCTGGGAATTTTTTTTCACCAATTCGTTTTTGAAACGACGCAGGTCGTGATAGGAAAGATATATGACTGTTTTTAATTTTATTGGCCTTGACTGTGAGTACATATTGACGGAACGGTGGCTTTTGAGATTGAAGTTTGAGTATAAATCACCCACTACTTTTTCTTTAATTACAAATTATCAGTAAGAGAACTCTTTCTCATTGGGTAAATAGAAAATAAATTTTTGTTTCAGCGGAAGTTTAAGTGTCATCAATTGTCAATTAGATACGCGCTGTGCCTGTTTATGACTTTGAGTACAGCTGGATTCTTGATTGTACCTGAAAAGTCTTCATTTCTGCTTCCACAAAAAAACAAGTTACTTCAGAAACAAAGGGACAACTTTACTTAACTTGACCCCATGCAGGCAGAAGTATGTTGTTCATACTGCAAGAAAGATCTGTGACGTAATTTTTACGTCACTACTGATATCAGGCAAGTAAGGCCCCAACCTCGTTCCCAGGTTCTCTCTCCTAGGAGAGAACCCTGGGAAGGAGGTTGGTTAGGCCCTTCGACACGTATCCGCATAGGTTTGTTTTATGCCTTCTGTAAACACGTAAACGGCGTTTTCGGGCACCAAAACGCACCTTTTCGAAAACGGTTCACAGAGTGGAGTTTTTTTTAAAACGCCGGTTGTCATACATCATACAGCGCATGTCCTGTAAGGGATCCTTTCGTATTTCCATTGTTTTAGCGTTTTCGAGTGGACAGGCAAAAACGATTCGAATACGCTACCTGTGGAGGCCTAGTTGTTTTGAAAACGGAGAAAAAACCTCCATTTTAGAAAATCCGGATACGTGTGGACAAGGCCCTAATCAGTCCCAATCAACCTCGTTTCCAGGTCTCGGAAAGAAGGCAGACCTGGGTAAAAGATGAATTCCCCCTTTCCCGCCTCTTTCTTTGTCAAACGTTTCGTACTTACCGTCAGTTGCATCTAAGCGTGTACACGCGAGGAAAAAACGTTCTAATTGGGTGCAAACATGACATGTTTTGCCGGCAGACATTCGATGTTTGGAGTAGGCAGCTTTTGTCGACTTGATTTATTTCTAAGCGACAAATATGCCTGAAAGTTGAGAGAAATGAAATATGAGCGCAACGCGCCGATCAAAAACATACATACAACTTACCATTGGCGTGACAGTTTGCTTCAACGGCTGTCAAACTTCAAATGTTTGGCGGCAAAACATGTCATGTCTGGCACCCTATTAGAACTCAAGGTTTTTACCATTACTGAGCTCGAGGGAGAGTACAAAGGCCATTCAGGATAACAACATGTAGTTCAACCACATTCACGCGCCATCAGTCTTGTTGGAACATTTCAAAACGCTAACATTTATTCATAGTTGAACGAAAGAGAAAGTATTATGTACAAAAGTATAAAACTGCTTAAGTCCAAAAAGGGCTAAATTTGAATATAGAACACAAGTAAACCAGGATTTTTACAGACTGAATTGAAAATAATTCCCTAACGTCTACACAGTCATTTCACATTTTCTTCAGAGTCCAATGCACTCCCCAAAACTTACTTTCTTCAATTTCGAAGTACAGTCTTACGGATAAAAATGTTATTTTTCTACAATCCACACAAACCCCTGTGACAGCCTAGGCCTTGAAAATGATTTTCTGCCCTGCCTTTCCCATAGCTGCGGCAGCCTCGATTAACAAGAATGAAACATTAATAGCGTTCAGATCAAAATGTACAGTGTTGCCTCGGAAGTTGTTCTCACATTCAAATACAGCAGTAAAGGTGACTAAAAATGTTTTTCCACTAGGATAACAAGTTCCTGAAGCTTAGTTTTGTATAAACTATGATACATTTTTCTCGTTGGCGACAGTTAATTTATACATTAATAAAACAAATATGCAAATTTATGCATATTTGCGGAATAAAACAGGATAAAATTAATTCTTGCTGGAACTTATATTGTGTATAAATAATTCAGTGAATGGCCACTTAACCCTATTAAACATCTGTTTAGGCAATGACCCATGCAATTTTGAATATACATGCATGCGATACAAGAAGAAGGCTTGGTTTTACATAATTTCAATATATAGTATCACTCAAAACTATTGTGCATCCAGTTTCAATTAGGAAATGCCTTGTCCACCCAATTTGCCCATGAGGCAGTGTGGCTGATAGCCTTTTCCAAGCTCCAAGATACTAGCGCGGAGGGGTGTGCCGTCATGCAGAAAAAAGTGATGAAAAATGCGTGGGGGCTGGGGAGAGAGAGGGTGCCACCGCCCCCTTCCCCAGATTGCAAGCATCTTATTTTCGCTTTGCTTGTTTTATTTTCACAATGTCCCTATTATCTTAGAGCCTGGAACAGGTTGCAGTGTGGCCTACAGCCTGTTCTAGGTGTTCAGAAAGTGGCAATAATGGAGGCAGTTCAAAGAGAAGTGAGCAGGAAAAGTCAGTGAGGGTCTCTTTCTCTCTCCACTCTCCATTTCAAGCCACTCTCCACTATATGAATACCTGGCAACAATTAGACTTCTACAGTGTAGAGTTGCAATCCCAAGGCCCTGAATAAAAGCCATACCTCTACTTGCTACTGTTTTCCCATGCTTTATTGTAAGTTGGCCACAAACCTTGAGGTCTCATTGGCTTATTAAAATTTGAGCACCCATTGTTGTTACTGGCTGAAGGATGGACTTGCCTTAATACCATTCAAGTGAAAATCACTCACATAAGTCGTGCACGTAGGGAGTAACAAATCCCATCTTCTCTCATGAATGGTGATAGATATACATGTACTCTGAAGTTCCAACTTCAGTCAGCTTAGTGTAGTCCCACATGACCGTATGTAAGTTTGCTTCAAATATTTCATACAGATTCTTTAGCAGGTGTTGATATAATGAACAATAACATATACCTGGTAAAATAAAACTAATAACCAAGAGAAGAAAAAATTCAATGAGTCCTTGCAAATTCCTCGCGCAGCCATTGAGAGTCCTTGTAGAACCTTGGATCACCTAATCGTAGGGCTGTTCTTTTGTAGAAGTAGTAATACAACACGGCTCCTAAAAGAGTAAAAGTCATACAAGTGAGAACTGGCTAGAGAGATATCTGCACAAAATACTATGCAATATTGCTCCATTTTCTTTATAAATTTGTCTCTCTTACCCTGGTTGTTTGTCTCTCTTCAAATTCATTATTATTGTGATATGGGCACCATTTTTAATACCATTGATGTACTATTGCACATAGTGTTTTTTAATTCTTACCACCAAATTCTCTTTTTCAGGTTTTCATTTTAGTTTGCCAAAAGGCAACTCTGAAAAATGTTGAGCTTTGAGTACAGAAGAATTACATTTTCACACAAAGAATAGTCCCCTCCACACAAAAATAATACCTTTGAGCACCACTGAAAGCATTTTTGTTCGGTGACGACTCAAATAAAACAAGAAAACTATGTATTATAAATTACAGTACAACAAATTTCACTCACCAACTCTTTGAAAAACAAAAAGGGTTTGAAATGCTTCACTCCAGATAAACCTCCGAGGTGCACCCCACTTTAATGTCTAAAATGAAAATAATTTATTGAACAAGTACATGTACATTGTAAATGCATGAAAATCAAGGCTGAAAAATAAAGCAGGAGTCTTGAGGTAACAAACAACCATTTACCAGTTATTCATTGATGATGATAAAAACTATTGAATTATTAAAACTTTATTTACTGTATGTTCCAAATTCAGTGATGTGTAAAAATTGAGCATTTTTTGTTTGAAACTTTGAATACAAATAGCCTGTGCCAGTCTCTCTGTCAGGGCAGACGAGTGAAAAAGTGAGCAAGCAGTGAAATAGCGAATGAGCAAAAAATGGTGGGAAGAGAGAACTTAAGAGCCGGTAAGCATCTTTTCAAATGCCTCAATCCGCCAACTTCCAAACCCACTTCCTGTGACCATTTCAAAATGTCACAGGTGCAGTAAAGGAGGGTTTCATATGCTCAAAATGTTTGTTAGACTCTGTGTGCGCAAAACCAAATGATTAATGATTAGTGTTTAAGTAAACTGTCACAATTGACCAATCATAGGGTATACCAGGAGGTTGGTATACCAGAATGAGGTATTAAAAACAATGCTTACAGCCTTACAGGCTCCAATACTCCATCTCTCCCCAGCCCCCACGTTGTTTTTCCGAGACTTTTCTCGATCTGCTTTCCTCGCTCTCTTGGAGCCTGAAACAGGCATATTATTACAAAAGAATTGCAAGCCTATATTTCACACATATACAAAATTTGTATATGTATGTTTTAGAACATAATTGGTAAAAACTTGTATGTTATTTTTTCATTTAATTCAAACCCAGATCAGGGGGCACTTACCATTGTCCATACATGAAGTCCTACTGATAGTGCTAAGTATAATATTGAGATTATTATGGTGGTCTTGAACTTCCTTATTAGAAGAGACACCAATCCAGCTTGAAATATGTAGGTGTTAAAAAACACCAGAAATACCACAATGATAGCAAAGATAATGCACAGGTCTTGTATTCTGTCAACAAAGAAATTTAGAAATATCATCAATAAAAAACGGGAAAACAAAAAACGGTGAACATTCTCTTGCAAGTACATGCAAAAGAATGATCAACAAGAGCTTTCAGCAATGTGTCATCATTTAAACTGGCTGTATGAATGCCATGGGTGTCGCACTTAATAATTAAAACTTTACATTCATTTGGTAAAGGAAAGAAACTTAAAGTTATCAAAACAATTAGAAAGTTACAATGTACTCAAGAGCCACAGTACATACCACCATGTACAGGAACAACGTAATTTTTTTTTTTTTTCACAGAATTTAGGGGGGAGATGATTTACATACTGTGTGCATTGTAACAAATCAAAAACTCAAACAGCTGGTAATGAAATATGATGATCAAGGGCTTCCAGCAGGTGCAGCTTTTATGGATGATTAATCTTGCAGCTATATACATGCAGTGCACACTGTAAAATTATGTGAAGCTGCTTAATTATGAATACAGATATGTTGCAGGGCAGCTTTGATTAAACTTGCTGATAATAACCAGTTTTAGAACTGTGACAAACAAAAAATAATAAGAATTTTTAGACTGGAACTTTTTTAATCAAGACTTACATAACAATAAAGTATAAAAATTTTCACTTTTGGTATATCAAAATTTAATATGAAAAAAAGATAACCTGCTGTAATTTTATCAGTGACAATATCCCTTGATTTACAAAATTATAATGTGTGCTCCAAAATACTGCAACGGTCATATTGAACAGTCTGAGTACAAATATCTATGCAACAAAGAAGATAAAGGACTGCCTGTTTGGATGGAGATCTAGACAAAGAAACGTGAAAGGAAGGTTGAAACCTACATGTAGGATCTAAAATGTAGGCAAAGGCTGCTTACAGCTGTATGTAGGCAATTTAGATTTTTATAGAGTAATGAAGATAACTAGTAGACCGTACTATAGTACACTGTATGCAAACTCTGGGAGATCAAAACCTGATCGCTGTATTTTAGATTTTGTGACTCCCAATACCTGATGGAATACCTGATCCCAGAACAAATTTAGGTGCTTAAGCTAAAGCCATATAATCAGCTTAGATGCATTGTGGCATCAAATACTCCAACAGAGAAATGCAGGGTATGGATGTTCAAGTCGTGAAATTACATTCATGTAGCATTAAATTGTCTAATTCAAAAGATTACTTTATTCTAATACAATTGTTAATGAACAGAACAAAAACAGCAAAACAAAATTGTCTAAGGCTAAAGGGATTATCACCATGAAAATCTTCACTATATAAGGCCATAAATGGAGACTTAGGAAAAACCTTATGATGAGGCTTAATCCTAAGGGATTTACAAAGTAAAATCTGTGCATGCTTTCAAAGTCAAACCAGAATGAATAAATGCCAATTAATACTTTAAAAGACATGGTTTTGTTCGTTTTTCCTTCCATGTAACACTTCTTGCTGGTCCCAACAGAATCTGTCTTAGCCAGAGTTGACTATAATATTGTAGCCTTTTTACCAGTATTCGATTAGGAACCTGTACACCTACAGCTCAAAAAATAATATTGATTTTAAAAGAATAAATGCTGTCATCCTTTAAAGTTGAAGAAGATTGCATATTTGCAAGGAAAGCCAATTTGCTGCGTAAATTGGGATAGACAAGGCCAGCAAGTTACTGATACATGTGTATACAGAGTAGTGAAATTTATCTTTTGTTTGTATGCCAAAAAAGAATTAAACAAAGATTAGAATTTAGGGGATGTATAAATTTTTGCACGTTCTGGTCAGGAAAATCTGTTTAATCCTTTTATTTAAGCATAGAGAATAGCATTCACTTAAAGAAAACAAATCGAGGAAAGGTATAAAAGCAAAGACGTGTGCCGAGGAATCGTCGCCAGCTGGGATAATTGTAAATTACCTCTCTCTGAACTGCAATATAATGTATCTACAGCTGTATGAGGAATATTTAAAAAAAGTTGAAATTTTCATATATTTTCCTACATTAATCATCCTGTCAGTTCGACAAGATATGGAGGGAAAACCTAAAATAAAGAAGGGAATACTTACGAATGAATACTGTAAAAAGATAATGAAATCAATACGCGTGCGAAGAATTGATCATGATAAAGATTTCAAAGTTGGCGCTGTTATCCTAACAAGTCAAACATCGGCGTGCTTAGCAAATCGTTGTGGTTTGAATGGCAACCACACGAGCTCAAGAATAAACCAGGCGATCTTTTGACTTCTTTCAGACAAAAGTGACGATTCTAATCACTTAAGAACGATTATCGACCCGAGAGTGAAAACACGTTCCTCATCGGAAATGCCCGCGCGTTAACACCCAAGGACAAAAAAAATTCAAAGGCACTGGATTTAAATTACTTACATGTACAACACGAGGAGAACGACATCAGCCGTACGGAAGAGTTCTCCAAAGGAATTGATGAACAAATCCACAAACAGGAACAAGAGCTGGAGATAAACTACAAAGCAAAACCGTGAAACTTTCATCCTGTGTCAACCATGTTTGTTATCAACAAATGCAACAAATAATATTTTCTACAAATGAAAGAAAGCCGCTGACAATCGTCTTGTGTCCTCTACTCATCGTGAACTGGGAACGAGGGACTCAGCGCCTGATTGAAAATTGACCCGCGCGAGGGACAGCATGCAAGATGCAAAACTCTCTTACAGCGTGCTAAGAATGCTGTAATTTCGGTTTAAAAATAAACCAAGATATTTCGCCCTTAGCTTCGAGCCTCGTCAGTCAGAAAATCAAGTTATTCGAACGCATCTCTAGTCTCGGCATTTACACTTTCTCAAAGACCAGTTTTGCCCTTTGAATAAAACCTTCACTTTAAGTTACTTTAAGTAGTAGCGATTCGGGACTTCTAAGTCATGGCAATTTAGAAAATGAAATTACAAATTAAAATTGTAAGATCACAAGGAAAACTTTGACTTCCGTTCGCGCTTAAAAAAGCTGCCTTGTACTCGAACCAACTGGCAAGTTTGAACACAGTCAAACTCAGTCACTCATAATGACCGCTTTTGAGTCAGGCATTTGTTTTTAGCATATTATAAGCAGCAACAGTTCTCTTGCTCGTGCAAAAATGGACACATGGACACTGAAATGGAAAATTGAATTACATCATTATGTTGAAAGTTCGTTTGTCTTGTTACGTTAGTGTGGATATCTCCGAGGGTATCTATAGATCAACACATTTGTGATGTCATCATAAAATAATTTGTAATTAATTACGCATAGAACATGCCGTGTTATAATCCAGGAGGCAGCGAAGTACAAATTTCGCCGACTTTTCTGTCTTCAGATCTCCTCACCCCAGGAGTACATAGAAGAATTACTTTTTCTTCTTTGGGGTAAGTTAATTATAGTCCAGAATGTCGTGGAAATCCTAAATGCATTCGATCGAACGCGCAAACGAGTGCGCATGATTTTGTTACTTACTCCTTAACTGACCATGATCAATTGGAAAAAAAACCGAATAACGAGGATCACATCTGAATTTGCCTGCTTTATCCGTAGTTTACTTGAATGATTTTTTTTCATACTTCGCAATAACCTTCCGACTGTTAATAGAATTGTCAATGAATGTGTAGCCTACCTAATACGTCAGGGAGGCTAAAACTGAGTAAGTCAATTTTCAAGAATAGGGTTTCCTCTTTTCTGAGAGAGAAGCAGTAATTGTATAGTTTAGAACTGTTTTAGTGGAATATTTTATTCAATTTTTATTTGTTTAATTTTACTCTTCTTTGTAATATAGCTGTTTTTTTATTATATCGGGAGCATCCCTAGTATAGCGCGTAGGCGCTTTTGGATGTTTCCCCCCTACAGGTTGTAATTTGTTAAAATTGTTCGCGCGTAGAGTGAATGTTAATATATAGATCTAGAAAGAGCTAAAAGCGAAGCTCCCGTTTATGCATTTTAAAGTTACTCAATACAATGGACTTTAAATCATTGCAAAGAAATATGGCATAAGTGGTTAATGATTAACTACAATTATAAATACTAGGTAGAATAATATACAGGTAAATGATTATACAATAAAAATAGAAATAGAAACAGTTCAATGTTCATTCCTTCGGTTGAGACCGTCTGGTGACAGGGTTTTGCCTCTATATATGAGGTACGCTTCTCTTGCCTTACGGCGTGACATGCTGAGAGTGGGTTGTAATTCCAGCGGAATAAGTTCCATGACTGCGATCGAGTGGCCCGGTTGATTTAAGTGGGAAGGGACTGCCGCTGTACATGTGGCGTTGGGTGGAGTGGATTGTTTTTTGCAGGTCTTTAAAGCGTTCACGAAGTGAGCATGTTGGCTTAGGGGTGGGGTAGGTAAGTAGTTTCCCAGAAACGTATAATGATCCCAAACGACTAATACTCACGCTAGATAGTCATCGGATAGGTTCAATGCAATTTATTTGTAACCCGGTTCAAGGCAAAATTTATCCATTTTCCTTTTAAGGTGTCCAATCACGTCATGTAAAATACATCTCTGATGGTCTTTTGCTCTTATAGGGTTTTTCGAAGGCCAAATAGAGCAACAAGTTGGGGGACAGAGGAAACCAAATATGGAGGCATAGGGAGACTTCCGGTCTTATCCCAGGCCCCTGCTGTCGTAAAAGACATCGTAAAAAGTCGCACTCACAGGCATTACTCCAGTGGCCTGAATAACTAGTAAGTGAAATATGTTAGTTTTTTGTTTCATTATTCACATTCCAAAAAGTAATCTCGTTCCCAGATATCACACTGACGCTAAAAGATGAGGGACCTGGCCTCGAGAATTGGGTAAATGATTCAATTAACTTTGGCCTTAAATCCACAGTTAATGAATATTATTTAAAAAATGAAAAAAAAAATATTTACAATCTAACACACCTAAGGACAAGGAGGACCTAAGGAGGACCTGTCGCTTAAAGAACGTTGTACAGCGTTCCTAAGCAACGATGACCGCGAATTGTTTCGACCTAATAAGACCGAATCAGTCTTGAGCCCAGAAGTCGCGCACTGGACTCCGCGTAAATCTGATGCGCAGTAGAGAAGAGCTCTGCATGGGGTCCAGAATGAGGCCGAAGCAGCTGTTCACGGACGGCTATGCGCATGCTTAAAGGACGTGTGCCACGAAATTTTTCAAAATCCTAACAATAGGAACTGCTAAAAATTGAGTGAAACCACTGCTAAAAAGGTCAAAAGAAGGTGTAAATAACACAGGAACTGCAAAAGAAAGCACGGATGGACAATCCTGAAGAAGATTAAAACGGATTGCAAATGGTTTTTGAAAACATGTTAGCCTAAAACTGCCTGTTGTTTAATTTGTAATGTTTGAAATGATGCTTGGGAGAAGCCGGGTCTAAAGTACAGGTCACATTCCACAGGTAAGAGTACAGGTCATTGCTCCATCGATAAATTACCAAGCCACACGGATTCTCCTCGATCTAATTGAGCATTTTGTTAAGAGATTAGGGCTTGGAGACACATTTAAAACTGTTCATTTATCTGTATCGTGGTGACCTGTACTCTGACCCGTGCAGGAAAAATGACCTGTATTTTAGACTCACAGCTTGGGAGACGTATCTGTTTGAAACAAAGCTGTTGTTTTCGTTCACAAGTAAATTTATCACGTTCCATAGCGAATAACGACGCGTAACTGGCACAATCAACAAAATAAACTAGACAGCCGTAGCACAGAACTCCTTTAATGAACAAGCGCATACCACAGCGAACTGAAGACGTGTGTTGCTATGTGATCAATTTTATTTGGCTTTTCTCCTTTTTAGTAATGCTTGTAGCCAACCTTATGCTGTAACATCACTGTCTCTCAGCGGCTGCAGGATAAACGATCAGTTGTAAGTGTAACAGTACATTTTCTCCTTTTGGACGAAACACTGATATATACCAACGTCTTAAAATTATATTGGACAGGCAATCATCCCATCTCGTCAAACATGTGGGTAGATATTCAGTATACAACTTGTACTCGCCCCTAGAAGGGAATCCAAGTCAGTCTTGGATTCTGAATTCCACACCATGGATTCCGGCTTCCAGGTGCTGTATTCGGGATTCTTTATCACTGGACCTTGGATTCCGGATTACAATCGTTATTGGGATTCCGGATTCCTTGAGCTGTATTCCGGATTCCAAAGCCCAGGATTCTGGATTCTACAAGCACAAATTTCCGGATTCCCGATTCCTCAACCAAAAATTTTCCGGATTCCGATTTCCGCAATCCGAATTCCTTTGCACAGGGAGAAAGCACGCTCAATCTACATATCAATCGTTCAATGTCACTTGTTCACACTGAATGAAGTCGACATCATCTGCCTGGACAAATTAAATGGAGCTTGATTTTAAAAGAGCGGCTACCTTTCAGCCGCTTTTGTATAGTTTGAAGAAACCTGAAGAGATGTGTTTTTCTGTTTTAGTTGAAAACCTCTTGCTAATCCTGTCTTCTTTTCGTTAACGTAAATAACCATCCTAATGCCTGCATTAAACGTGGGGCCTTTTCTGATGACATAGATAAATAACGGCATCATTGTGACTTCAATTTGAATGACAATACCTTTCCCGTCTTTTTGCAGGTTACCGGCACCACTGGATACAGAGTAAGTTCCTGATATGCCAATGGGCCGGCATTGTGTAGCAACGGTGGCCTTGGCAAGAAAAGATTAAAAAGCAATATCTTATTGAATATGAATGAGCTGAAGATAGTTTTGGGCTCTGAAATGTCTGACATGCTATTCGTAAAGTGAGAAAGGAGTTTTAATTTCATTTTATGTGGTTGATGTAAGCTAAAAAGGATCATACAAAATACTCACATGAAATCAGGAAAACTGGGTGAGAAATCAAGAAAACAAAACAGTGAAAAATAAAACCCAATGTTAAAAACTGTAATTCAAACGAAAGTTTATCTAAAAGAAAAATGTCTCGATTTATTAACACAGAATGCTAAAAGCAATCTTGTTTCAGTCAGTTAGGTGGGAAAACTACACGGGCAGGACTCGATTCGGCCCAACCGAAGAAAGCGAAGGAGCCGAAAGAACTGGGTTTGCTACCACCCCACAATCATGACTGATGGCAGTCTATATTAATATAGCTATTTTGCTTCGCTCTAGACACGAGAAATTAGATGAACCATGGCCTGGACATGCCTACACCTCGCACATCTGTCGGTGTGACGTTTTCCCTAGATTCGACCCAGAGCGCACCAAATTTGATGGTATAAGTAAGTTTAGCAACAAGTTGCCCGGCAACTTTTCGTCAAACTTTGTGATTTTCGGCAACTTTTAAAATTCTTGCCAACTTTTTATTTTTTTTATCATTTTTAAAATTATTTTTTACTTTTTTCGCAATTACCAATGCCAGCTTGGTGTTGCACGCCCGTCCACGAGGTCCGCGGTATCACATGAAACGTTTTTCAAGATGGCGGACAACACTGTCATTGATGAAGGCCTATCGGCCTATTGAGGAAGCTAAAATTAAGGCTGGCGGCAAATCTCGCTACCACCGAAAAAGCTCAAATAGCTAGAGAAAGAACCGCAATAAAACCAACATCAAGTGCAAACAAGTAAAAAAAATAGCAACTATTCGGCAACTTTCAAAATAAAATAGCAACTTTTGAACACTTTAAGCGCTGTCTATATAGAGGAGGCCAAAATCGGTAAATGGAATGAGTAGGGAGATGACTCAAGTTTCTTTCCTTTTTTTCTCTTCAGTTTCCTCTCAACGGAAACTCAAACAGGTAAGCTGTGGACTATTTGCAGGTCGACTTTTCTCTAAAAATCCGTCTATAGTTCTTATCCCAGTCAGCACGATTGCTGACTACGCCCCCGTTTATTGCGTGCGTGAGTTGCTCGTGTTGTAACTTTGCAACGAAAATAAAAGACTGCTCGTAGTCTAGGCAAGATAAAAGAATCTTATTGCGATTCAGCAGCAAGTAGCATGTTTGCATCCATTAGAATAGTTTTTGAAATCAACTTAAAAATTAGGGTTAGAGGAAAAAATTCAAATGTAGATTGTAGCTGTAAAGATGAGTACGTAAAACTAGCGGCATCTTTGGGGAGAAGAGTACGGCGGAGCAGGGTTTATGCGGAAAGCCAAGAGAGGGAGAGGATCGAGCAGTTGAAAGGGAAGGGAAAAGGGAGGTTAGAATTGAAGGTACTGAACAAGATGAAGAGAGGGGTAAGCTCCACGTGCGATATCACGTACGCAATTCAGCCAAATTTGACTTGAGCAACTGTTTACCAAATTAAGTACGTGAGTGATAAAAAGAACAAGTTAAATCATGGGAAGAGGCACTTTACCACTACACCAATACAAAAGAAAAGACAGACGGGCAAAACTCAAGAAGGTTTAAACGGATTTTAGCTGTTTTTTAAAACTGTTCAGCGGCCCAGAAGTTGTTCAGATTATCTCTGTTGCTAGTTTCATTGTATTATAAAGCTTAGAAGACTCATTTTTTTGTCATAAAGCTGTGATTGTGTCGTTTTAGAACTGAGTAGTTTCCAGAATATACTTAGCCTTGAAATGAAACAAATTAGGCTAAACTAGTGTGACGCAGTACCTTTAAGTCAAAAGAAAAGTCATATTGAAAGTGTCCTTTTTTCCGAAAACCACTTCAATAGTGATTTAATTTGTGAAACTTTTATTACCTGGTCTGCCTGATCAGGATGCCACTGATTTCGTGTATGCTTTTCCTTAGCAACTTCTCCCTTCAACTGAGGACGCATTGGAGAAACTGTCATACTCAATCTACAGCACTTCAGTGTACCAGGAAGCAATAAAGGATAATAAGCACAGCCCGAATCAAAGTGGGGAGGCGTGTGAAGACAACGTAGTTAGTATTCGTAACAAAGAAAACACTAGTTTAATTGAAGTGGAAGATTGGGAAGTGAAAGATCAAGAAGAGATCGTAGGAAAAACTGAAAATGAAGAGGAGCAGGTCGAGGTAAGCTGTAACTGGTTGTCATCCAATAGCTTCTTTTACAAATAGTTAGATTACGGGTAAGAATTTCATTCATAATCGACGGCTGTGTCCCTAGTTTTGTATAAGTTCGGAGAAAGTTTCCCTCAGAAAAACAACTTCAATACATTTTTTTAGGACCTTTTCTTGAGCCAGGGTGGCCATAGGTGCGTCTCTCAAACGCCACAAAAATGACAACTTCGCGATCGATTAAGCGACAATCGGCCGAGCCAGCCCTGCGCAGTTGAGATCTCGATGCGGAGGTGCCGGTCCGCCTCGCAGAGCTGAAAATATTCCAGGTGATCGGGATTTATAAAACCAAGGGAAGACATAAATAGAGGTTATAGCGAACCAAATGTAATGAGAATCGTCACTTGTCTCTTGGTATCATTTGGTACACTCTTCCGGGGAAGTGGCCACACAAACCTTTTGAGTCAAAGTTGGCTTCGTCCTGGACTAACTCGCCTGAATTATAAATACAGTACTAGGCTTATAGTGGTCTCCATGAACCGGCCAATTTCACTGTGTAGTGGGCAGATAAATATTATAAGGAAAGCCTATGAGAAAAACTTTAAAAAAAATCTGATCATCATGAGCCATGAGGTGTGACTGTGTGAGATCGTAATACCTAAAACATTACCTTCTGTTAGTAGTAAGTTTGATTTCTTGCTTTTTCTAAAAGAGGAAAAATGATACAAAAATATCACATTTTTTTTCTGTGGCAGGGAAACCTCAAAAAAGGACTTCCTAAGAATCGACCTAATAACCTGGAAGATAACGATGTGGAAACTCAACCACATTTGTCAGTGGTCTGGCCCATTTGGCCAGTTGGTCTCGACGATATGCGCAGAACACCGCTAAACTTTCCCAAAATACCACTTCCCACTTATGCTCCGCAGGATTTCACGAAGATCAGTCAAATGCCCAGCAAAGAAACCACTCAAAACATTCAAGGAGGTTCAGAAGAAAACAGCCCAAAATGTGGCTCACTGGAAAGTACTAAATACGAAAATTGGATTAGAACTGCTAGTAAATATATTCCTGCGTTAACTGCGTATAACTCGAGCAGTTTAGATTTTGGTGAAATGAAGCATCTCAGGTTCTCTAATCCAGAACATAAAAACTTGAACGAATTGGGTCAGGTTCGCGTTGGTCTCCTACCAGTCAAGCATCTTGCTGGAGTTGATTACGTTAAGCTTCCCTTGATTCCAAGCAAACAAACAAGAGAGCGATCCCATGAGCCTCCACAAAGGAAATTGCACTGCACGACGGAAATGCTGGGAATACGCTTTAAGACTGATGCCCATAAAAGGTAATGACGCAAGTAAATTAGATGAAACTGAGGGGCAATTCCCCTCTTTTTCGCCCCTGAAGTTGTCAATCATTGCAGGAGTTTCATCCCCGCTACGTTTTTGTCAAATTTGTCCCTTTGAGTTGAATCTGTAGCTGTAACACACATCAAAGAATCGAAATGATTAAGTGCAAAAGATGCTACCTCAAGCAACCAAAACATCGAAAGTAAAGCGATACATGCGCTTAACCAGTCCCAAGCGCGGCAAAACGCAGGTAAATTTGTCGCTGGTGCTAAAAGCGGGAAAACATAAACCTGATATCAAGAGAGATATCAAGAGAACGAATCCCTAGCTATGCCCCATGATAATTATTTGAGGTGTTTTTCAAGTTCGCTCGCGTACTGCAAAGGTTATTTTTGACTGTTGTTTCCGTGACTCGCGTGGTCTAATTTTTACGCAGCATCTAACACAGAACCAAGAATAGATTTCAAACAATTTTTATGGGAAGAGGGTCATTTATGGGGGATTTGCTCTCTTAGGCCATTCTTTCTTGTTGGTATTCATTAATTCACTGTAAAACACTAGTCTTGCAGTCGGATCTAAACTCACAGGAAAACAACCAGCTCATAAACATCCACTTCATATGATAATGACTTTGTTCCACGCATTTGATTGGTTCAGTAGAGCTGGGATCTGACGTTGTGGAGAAGATGACTTGAACTTCAGGCTCGTGAGTCAAATTTAATTTTTTCCCGTTCTTGTTTTACCAGATATCATGAAATTTATTCTGACGTTATTCCTGACCTGAGAAGTTCAACAATCACAGGAAGGCAACATTTCTTCTGGGGAGTTCATGCATGCACTCTAAGATGAAGTTTCATAATGATCGATTATGTGGTACTCTTAAAACATTAAACGTCCTATTAGATATTCAAGCAGAAAATTTCCGAGTTTGACAAGCTGCATTGTCCGTTTCAGAAAATCATTTATTGCAACCCGAAAATAACTAAGAGTGTGAACTTTACACTAATGCCGGACAAGGACGTTTTTCTACTGGAGTGATCTACGCAAAAGTCACCAAAAAATAATAAAGTTAAATATTCTTGTGATACTCAAATATCAAGTTTACAGCTTAAAATGAAGCCTATTTGTAAAGCTTCTGCTTTAGGGACCGGTCATTATTTATCGCCGGTGGTGGGGTTGGGGCGGGGGGGGAAGGATTTTGGGCTAAACAAGGTGTAATTTAGCCGATCCCCCCTTTGAATGTTACTTCACTGAAGTGACCTCCCCCCCCCTAATAACTTTTGATGACTTTCACGATCCCCCCCATGTATTCATTTTCTAAGTAAATTTGAGTTGTCCCTCCTCTGAATCCTTCCAAAGCTTTCAGCGATCTTCCCCTTCTGGGTTATCAGTTATAATTACGACTGATGTTTTGTTTTTGAATGTTACTGCGGTTTTTCTTGTATAAACTTTGTCACGTGTTCCCTTGTGGGGGGTGGGTTTTTATTTTTGTTTTTGGGGTGGAAAAACCCTTTTTTTTTTAAAAAAAAAAAAAAAAAAAAAAAAAAAAAGGAGAAAAAAAAGGGGGGGTTTGACACAAGTTGGCCCCAGAAAAGGGGGGGGGGGGGGGGGGGGGGGGGGGGGGGGGGGGGGGGTGCACGATAATCATAGGTAACATGAAACAGCCAGATCAGCCTGGTCAGAAGCCTGGCCTGGTTCACAAATAATAACCTTATGACTAGCCTGTTCCAGGCTCCAAGATAGTAGTGCAGTAGCGCAGTAAAATCAACCTCGTCCCCAGGGCTTTAGGTTAAGAAGAAAGCGCAGGGGCTGAGGAGAGAGATGGCAGTCTCCTTCCTAATTTTTCCCGCCACCTCCACCTTCCTCGCTACGTGCCCAACATCTGAGAGCCTGGCACAGCCTACCCTATGATGGCACACCGTTGTTTTTTTTATACTGGTATTTCTTTGCTCGGTCTTTGGTATACAAGAAGGGGTGAGAAAATACAGTAACCACATTCATTCGCTGTGTAAATTCAATGAATTTTCAAGATTCTTTCCTTTAGCAACAGCGAAGGAAATCGTAATTCGTTTTCCCACCTTCTCGACAGTTTGGTTCGTGGCATCACGGATAAGAAAATAACAATTAAAAAAAGGCACCCAACGATCGAAAGTTTCCAAATACGTCAGAAGTATTACTGATGATTTTCTCTATGCTTAAGAAGCCTATTTGGTTAATTTGGAGCAGCCCTAAAAACTATTTATCTGTTCGGATGTCTCAGGGGAACTTTGGTCATGTCGAAAAGTTTTAAGTGGCTTTCTCGTCTCATCCGAGACTTTTAGCTACCCCGATGGGTCCGGTCGGGAGTTTGAGGACATGGGGTAGCCGTCCGCGTACTTTCATTGGAAGATTCTAGGGGATATTTTGTCTTTACACCCGGATTTTATGGAAACCTTTTTTAAACAATATATCATGCTCGGTAATAAAATGTGAAAAACGCATCGTAGGTATATAGGTAAGTAGAAAAACTTCGGACATCTTTGACACTGGAAAGGTTATCCGATAATTTTCAGCCTTTCTCGAGCTTTAGAAATTCTAGGCAATATTTGTTCCTTCCAACATTCATTTTACGGAAAAAAGTCGTTGGGTGCTCCTGAATAAAATATTTACTGATTTTTCACTGACTGTTTTCTAGCCTCACTGTAGAGCACATGTTTCATACATAATCAGGAGTACATAACCTTTGAACTCAACAGCCTGCACCAGTCAGGAATTCCCTCTGAGTTAGAGGTTAGAATGCCCAACCAAAACTTGAGGAGCCATGGTTTCAAATCCGTTGGGAACTTTGTTTTTGTTTTCTTTTAATGGTCACTCGCCCATAGATTTTTACTAAATTACTAGGCAAACTAATTTTTTTAACTTCGTATTTGATTGTTGCCCCAGTAATTGAAAACCAGTAACGCTGTGTGTTGTGCCGCAAAATAAACACAGAGATGATGAGAGTGGGCCATGTTTGTGTATGTAACTATGGACGAATCTTTCTTATGACGCACTTGGCCGCGGGATCCCATGCGTGTGTTTACGTAACTTCAGACAAAACATCTTGACCTGACAGCGCGGGGGTTAAACATGGCGTGTGATGAAGGAGTTTTGATTGTACAAATCACAAACCAGATTTGAGAGAAAAGATATTTAAAATGCGTGGTTTAGATCCTTCAGCCGCACAGCCAATAATCTAATTGTCTTGTCTACACCACCAAAATCTTACTTCATGTGATAATTAGTCATGGCCTTGATGTGCTAAGAGTCTAACAACACACACCCATACACATCCAATTTTCATGAGTAATGATTTACCAGAGGCCTAACCAATGTTGAATAAACCAACTTGAAGTTTGTCTAATAACCGCTTTAATCCGATTTTAGTCAGACAGGAAATCAGAACATATGGATACCGTTGAAAAGAACCGAGAGATTAGAAACCATTGGCATCCGGTAGCCTCAGTTATTCTTGTGGCAGACTGTCTATTTATTTCGCATTGAGCAAAGACCGAAAAGTTTTTTGTACATGTTTATTTTGTGATTGAGATTGCGGTTATTTCTTCGCTTGTCTCTGGTCCAAGACGCTTTTGTTCTTCTGGTCTGTTTTGCGTCGTCCAGCTTCCATAAAAAGCCTGTAGCACTTTTGATGCCAGACTTACAAATCATGTAAAGTAGAGGGCGACGAACGATGCATGGAAAATTGAGAGTCCTGAAAACTTTTGATTTTATCCAGAAATCTTTGGAGACTTCGAGATAATACACGAATTCGACTTGATGTCTAAATTTTACGAGTTTCCCTCTGTATTAATTAAGCACAGTTTTTCGCACTTTTAGTGTTACTAAGTCTCGATTTTTTTGAGAAAGGTGTTGAACGATTCATAGTTTCTTGGGTGATAGTCATATATAATGAAGATTATGCAAAATAGTATGATTACCTGACTTAAAGCTAAATTCTAAAATAATGGTTAATCTGTTGCTGATAAAAAGTTTTTACCATCGCAACTGTTTATAATAAGTAAAATTAAAGGGTTTGAAGCACAATTGAATCGCAACCTTCTGATGCAGAAGGACAAAAGCATTTGAACGATAAGATAGAAGCAAATAATAATCTCTCGTGAAGATTCCGAAGGTGCTAAAACTTCTGTAAGGACTTTATTTCCAATTAAATAGAGATTTAGGAAACCAAGAAAATGTTTCCTATTAAACAAGGGACATTAGGAAGATAGTATGAATTGGCGTCCAACGATCGATTAAAAAATTTACAAAGAGCGAAGAGAACGAGGCGAGGGAATAGCGTGCGTGGGAAGAGAATTCAAGGCGTTCAAAAGAGGCCTTCCTCTCCCCGAGTGCCTTAGATTCTTAACTGACCGTCAAAACCGTCTTCCCTCGTCTCGTCGGCACCCCGCTTTAAATCACTCCATGAATCTTTACAGAAAGCGAGGACTTAAAGCTATAGTACTGCCTACTCAAACTCTAAGGATTATCTCTCTTAGTTTAGCGTTGCCTAGCCAACGAACTCCCGGCGCTAGCGACTCATATTTTATTTCCGTGCTAGAGCCGCGCTTTTTCACCTCCTTAAATTCAACTTTGACTCCTTTTACCTCCGCTTTGGAAAATAATTGTTGACTATACTAAGGAGAGGGGACTTCAAATCAGTTTCCGGAATAAATTTTTTTATTTTGTTCGGCTGATTCGTGTGTAAATTTTGCTCAAACATCGGAGGCACTTGTTTACCTGAGTAAGACATTCATCTGTCTTAGGAGTCAGTAAGGACGCAAACTGATCAAAATTTATCTTTACAAAACGCGCTTTAACGCTGTTAGAATCAGAATGAAATTCAACATTAATTTTTTCAGCTGTAGTGAATATAATGCCTGTTTCAACAATTCACATGCCTTCCAGACGGAAAAGTTTTTCCGTATAGCAAACAGAAGGAGCTGTACGATTCATTCATTTTTTTTTAAATCGGCGATATTACGGCAGGCGTTACTCTTTTTCAAGATAACAAACGTCTTCCTGGTAATTAAAAGGTGTCCATTCGATTTCATCATTACTGGCGAAACTGGTCTGTTTTTAAGTTCGAAGGTTAGTTTCTTTAAAACAACGGTCTCTGCAATTTGTCCATTGGCCACTTGCTCTTTAAATGATCTCCACCGTAAGTTTGGAAAAAATAAGCAATATTACTTAGTAATATTGAAAGGGGAGAGCTCAGAATCGATGGGAGATAATTAGGATAAATGAAATTCGTTTCATGGCAAGAATATCGCTCAGCGATAGCTGTAATTTAATTGGAAAGGATTTTTTTTCTTGCGTTAAAGAAAGATGAAAATAAATGAATTTAAAACTTGCTAAGATTTCGTTTAACCGCCATGATTTCGCAAAGGTGGAAACGAATTAAATCGTTTTCTGTGTCTACTACGAAAGGTCTCGTAGTTACGAACCCTTCATTTAAACAATGTTTTTTGTCTAGCTAATCTATCAAAAGAGCAATTGCTAAATAATTAATATTTACAGACTTGTAGGACCAATCAAAAGCGTTTCTTTCCACAGGCGAGTTTCAAGGCATACCAGCTAGTTCAAGAAATCACCTGTGAGACGTTAATTATGCGAGATTAATTATGATAATAAAATTTTGGGTTTCCAAATATGGGTTTCATTGTGTCAACAGCCCGACTATGATTGGTTGAAAAGACTAATTATTTCTGGTTAGGAGGTATGTCTTTCGACGGCGAACAAAGACGGTCACAAAAATTCTATGACCTCGTCGGGGCTTTAGTCCGTCAATTTATTTCTTCCCCTCTCATTTTCTCCCGGGACATGGAGCATTCCTCTTTAGATTTAAGTATAGTTAAGAAGGAGCCGGGATTTGGCGAGCCATTTTCCCCAGAATCTGGCTTGTTCGACAACATGATGTCTGAAGACTTTCACGATACAACCTTTCATTCTATGGTTAGTAAAGTTTCATTCATTGCATAGCGTAGTAAAACTCTTTCACGTTACAACTCTTGCCATGCCGTGGATGATATTTCTGTTCACTAGCTGAGGATTTGTCTGCTCTTTAACGTAGCACCAAGCCAATGAAGACGTTCCTGTTGACTGGCTCTCAGGTTTTTTCGACGAAGTTCCTACCTGTGCTGAAACCTTGAGCTACAACAGTTTGCCGGAGTACACTTCAAGTAGTTTACCGTACACATCACTGGGGAAATCACACTATCTGAGTCTGAATGGCCTTAGTATGGACACAATGCCAAGTTTTCCTGAGGAATGCTCCAATGAGTCTCTGTATTGCTCAACGCCATCTGACTCTACACCAGATTACAAACCCCTTTCTCCAGAGTCCACACATTCATTAGAAGCCGACGTAAAGCCAAATTTATTTAGCAAAGACGTTCTACTTGAACCTCACGAAAGTTTTTCTCCGTCGATGAACCATCGACTAGAACCGCCTGATTTACAGCTGTTTGAGCAGACCGATGGACCCAAAAGTTCGCCGGAATCACCACATTCCGAGAACGGCTCCGACCGACTCGACAGCGAATCCGGTAGGTCACGACATTGTTTTCCTCTCTTCTGAGGTTTCAGAGTTTCATTTATTTCTCTTTTCCGTCTAAGCAGCTTATGATCACCATATAAACAACAAGACATGAGGAAGGCATTAAATTTTTATCCGGTGTTGGTAAATACTGATCTCTTTGTTTCACATGGCCAGAACTACCATTGTTTGTGTGACTTTCTACGACAGTCGATTGAATGGGTATCGTTTCCAGAAATCGAACGAAATGTACCAACGAAATAACAAGAAAGCAAACCTTTGTCGATTTCCTACTATATGCAAGCTTACCGAAACGGATAAACATCCCTGGGAATAAATTTCTAAGACATGAGTGATTCAACAGGTAAAGTTTCATCAAAGCTTCTTCTTCTTAGAGAATTGATCTTTGTACCGTGCACTCCTGGCAGGAAAAGAAAGTATCAATTTTCCGTATTAAGAATTCCGCTATCTAGAGCATCCTGTTTTTATACACGAAAACAAGTTGTCTCTGTTAGGATTAGATTTTTTGGTGGCTACGGCATTAAAAGCCAGTCACAATTTCTTTAATCCAGGTTGTTTGCGAGGAATTTTTGACGGTTGACTAAAATTCCATGGGAACAATTTCGGCGGCGACCGAAAGAGTTGCGAAACTTAAAAATGAAGGAGTATTCACTCTAACATGATGATTTTAGCGTAACAGTGCTGAAAACTTTGAGTTATTTTAATTGTGATGCCTTGACCGGTTTTCTTTTCTATACAATGAGAAGACAGTTGTTGAAATGTTTCGGGAAAAGTGTGTTTAAATCTAGACAATTCTATATATTTTTCGTTTCCAAGGTTTTGCTTTCTTCTTGTTCGTTTCTCCTTGAAATTTATGCAAGATCGAATAGTTTGAACATCATGTGTCCTTTTTGAATGTTGAGCTGAATTCTTAATATTGAATCAGCTGTGTATACTTCGCTGTTTGACAAAAATGTGAGAAACTTTATGTTTATATATAAACTATAATTTTTGAATCATTTTAAATAATGTTTTCTTCTTCTGAATTTTGTCGGAGAATTTTGTCCTGGATAATTTGTACATGTATTTGTAAACTTTTTAAATAGTTAAGTTTTCTTGTAAGTTGTACTACAGGCCGTGGACGTGTTTATAAGAACTATTAATTTTTATAATTGTTAACAGTGTACACACAACACACAAGTTGGTCACTGATGTTTTTAGCACATTTTTCATGTTCAAATGGTAACTCTAAAAACCAATGAAATGCTTGGAAATGTGTATTTTAAGGGTGCCTATGGGGTTACTGCTGTAAATTCTTAACATCGCTGTCTTGCTAAAGCAAATCAGAGCAGTAGTACGGTTAGGCTGGATTTGTAAAAAAAAAATACATGTATAGTTTTGATTGGGTGAAGCGTTCATCAGTTGTAGTATTAGTAGTAAACTTTATTTCAACTCGGATTGAAAGAGAGTGAAAGAAAGTGAATGCTGAAAGAGAGCTCTTGGAGTCTTAATAGGGTAAGAAATTCATAAATACTTATGAAAATTTTGTGTGGAAAATCACCAGCCCTTAGCCCTTGGTGACAACATTAGTGAAGCTTAATTCACTAAGTAGCCCTTGATGAATTTATAACATTGACCACCTCATGATCAGTTATTTTTGGAAAGACTTTGTCCTCATCTGGGTCATAACCATCTGACTGGTCATCCCTGTTGTGAAATGTGAATAAGATTTTAAAAGATGTCTTGATAAATGGTTGTCATTAGATTTAAATATTATTATTGTCAGTTATTTACTTAACTTAAATAGAACCTGGTCAATTTGCATGCAACAGTACGTGTTCATCTGATTGCATTTACCTAAAGGCAGCCTAAATGTTTATACTTTTTATTGTCTTTTGTGGGTTCCTAACTGTGGTAGTATAAGAGAGAGCTTTAGATTCAAGGACGAGGAAGCTTCACCCTGAAGCTTCATTGTACTTCGCTTCACCACAAAAGTTGGTACACTTTTTTCGATTTAAGGACGTTAAGCCCTCTCCCGATAGCTAAATGATAAAATTTTCACCATTTTGATAACTTGTTATTGCCACTACAACATTCCCGCTAAAACTCGTGGTCGAATGATAATAGCTATTAGGTTTTCTTGCCAAAATGACGCTGGCTCACACGCGAGCACTACTTAGCATTGAGGAAATCCCGTTCTTGTATTTGTCATCATCTTAGAATCTAATGGTCTCCAATGACATTATTAGTGCAAGTTTTTAGTATTTCCAACATGAATGTTCCGTGCAAAGACACTCCATCATGCAGTGTTGCATTGTTATAAAGGCTTAACCCTGTTGTGCAAATTGTCCACTTATGACTTTTTCCCCCTCCTTTTCTTTATTCAGCTTCTGGTGATGGGTATTTTTATCCCGCGCTGCCTATCCAATCAGAATACGCTACAATCAGAGCATGTAGAACTTACAGTAAGCATTCTTAAAAGCCAAACCTTAAAATATAACTCCATAAAGAGGCCAGGTCACACAATTTGACGCAATTTTTACACTTACCAACAGCAAGTGTAAATTGTAAAATTGGCTGAACTTTAAAAGAACTTTGGAAAGAAGTACAACCAAAAGAGTGAAAAGTGATAGACAAAATAGACTACAGGTTGTGTTTGCACAAATAAAAATAGTGTGATTTCCAGTGTACACCTGTATGGCAGCTACTGCTGTATCTTTGGTTGTGACTGTGGATTTGTTATTAACAGAATTTTGTTTTGGTGGATAACAGAAAATAGACTAAATCAACTGTGACGTAGCCTCTTGCTGTGTAGTGCTTATTAATTTTTCTGTTAATTTTTATAAAAAATAAATGTCATTATCTTGTAACTTACCATGTAATTTACTATGTGACTAGATAAACCTAAACCTTTTTTTGAGCTGTTGTTAATGAATTTGTATGAATTCTCTACTAAGACCTTATGATCAACCCTTTTTCCTAGAGCTTACAGAGTGTGATGCATAAAAATGTTGTAGTTAATTTTTTATCTCAGGTCAATTTTTCTTTTTCTTCTTTTTTTAAAACTATTTAAATCCTAAAGATTCTATAAACTATCAGGTTGTCTTCACTTTACTAAACCTGAAACCACTTCCTGTTTCTTTAATGTGTTAAAATACTCAGGTTTATGAAATAATGAAAAAGTACTTGTTTAAGTGCCGCTTCCTTGTAATAAACACCCACTTGCAATGAAGACACATGGTTCTTCCCATGAGATTTTTATGTAGGCAAATATTATATAGTAGTTTCTTGTTACATTACTGCAAAACAAGGATTTAACATCACATCATTATGAATATTTTACTTATAAGCCGTAAAATAATAAGCACCGGTAAAACCTGTGTTTATATTAATTTTTGGGACACATTCATTTTCTTCTTTGTTCTCTGGACAGTTTGATGTCCTTGTTTTGAAGGACAAGACGTCAGCTGTCTTATTCCTCTGTGCCTTACATTTCACAATGTAGCACTTTTAGGGATTTCTTCAAATACAGTGTGCAGGCCCAGATCGATAGTGATATCCACCAGATAGATGGCTATCCAGTAGATAACTATAAATGAAACCATTGTTGTGCTATCCACTGGATAGTGATTTATCTGGTGGATAGCACTATCCATGGCCAGCTTGTGAACAACTGAGCCCTGATGTTGAGATGAATTATTATTTACATATATTGAATCATTGAATAAAACTTTATCACATGGTTTACAGGAAAAAAAGTACTACAATGGTGGTCATGATAGATTTTGCATTTTCCACAAAATTTTTCCTTCCTTTTCAGTGCTTTTTTTGTCGGACAAATAACATGTTGGCTATAGGAATACTTCTTTTTAGTGAATTGACCCTGAATTTCAGATTGATTTTTTTCCTTTACTCACCCTAGCATGAGATTGGTGTTGGCCTGTTGCATTGTGAAAAAGATGGAAAATATACATGTACCTGTAGTAAATATAATGAAAAAAAAAATGAAAAACTGTTGGTTATTTACACTATAATTTATTATTTATCTTCTCTTCCAGGTTATGACTCTGCTTCCCATTCCCCTCCATCCTCATCTAACACACCACCACACATTTTAGAAGACAATGATATGTCCGTATCAAGTGTGAGAGAAACAACTCCACCTGTAATACAGGTAAAAGCAGTAGAACCTCAGTCAAGTGAACTCCCCAAAGGAATAGTTACTTGGTAGAAAGTGTCCTGTTTACATTGTATGAGAGATGCAACCCTCTGCAAATCTCAGATCATTAATTTTATCGTTTGTACTTTTTTTCTTTAATCATCACTTCCCTTGATTAGTATGGAATATATAACTGCCCCCATTAAAGCCTTTGCAGGTAATAAACAAGTTATCTTCACTGATGCATACCTTATCCTTCTTTTGTGTGGTCTTGATTAATTTTGTCAGAATCTGTCCCAGAGTAAGATTGATAAATATATAACATTTTACTCTTGTCATTTATTTTGCTTGCAAGTACTACCTGCTTCACCTAAATGGTTGCTGGCTAACTGCATACAGAGAAATTTTAATTAAGTAAAATCAAGGCAATAAATGATTTGTTGTTGTTGGTGATGCTTTTTAGTAATTCATTACTTTTTTTTTTCACCTACAGCATCACCAAGAAAAACAGCCATTTTATTTAACTGAAGAAGAAAGAAGAACTCTTATAGCAGAAGGTTTACCTGTACCAACTGGTTTGCCTTTAACTAAGGTATGCACACTTAAGATGTAAGTCTTTTGGTAAAATAATTGTATCCTTTATTGAGTCTCTTTTTTCTATCTTAATTGTATGAAATTACTAAATAGTGGCTGGTTGTTGAACTGGGTCACAATGACAAAAAAGGAAAGAAAAAATCATAAAGTGTTGATCATGGAATCCATCTGTGTATGAAGGTCTTTATGAGGTCCTTTATTAAGCAAAAAGTACATGATAAAAACTAAGAATACTTACATTTTGCAAAAGTCAAAAGCAATTAAAAAGCTTAAAGAGTAGAAAAGAGTATATAAGTTATAATATTCTAGCATGCAGTGATTTTGTTATCACTGCGTCCCTGACACATAAAATTCCTCAAAGTTGCAAAAGTTTTATGGCATTGTGTTGAATCAGAATCATGCAAAGATTGATTAAGGGAACTGAAGACGTTCTTAAAAAGATCATCTCATGACATGAAATCTGTATTCAAACATACCTTAAGTCAAAGGAGCAATACTATAACAGTCATAGGTCTAGAAGTTAGAATTTCTGGACTAATAAACTAAAGCTTTTCCTTGCAATTAAACAATCTAATTAAATCAATGGTTTTTAGATTGGAACTCACTGATTCTGGACTGGTACTTATTATTATATATGATGAGAGTCCTTGGACTTCTGACTTCAAATTGTATCATTTTCAGTGGACATAAAAAATACTCTTGGTGTATTTGGTTTGGCAAGTAAATGGTATTTATTTCTTTTTGATGAGAGTTTTGTTTTATGGTAGGTTGAAGAAAGAGCCCTGAAAAAAGTTAGACGAAAGATAAAGAACAAGGTATGATGTTAAAGCTCTATAGTCACTGTATAAATCTTTGGTAGATAGTGAAACAGACTATTTTATCCATTACATTATTGGCAGTTCCCTGAAGGCACGCATGAGGATTCTCTCTGTCAAGTGACGTTTTGTTGTCTACGAAGGCCACAGATTTTGTACCGTGATGGGTAATTTGCCATTACTCTTTTAGATCCAATAATAATATTGTTGTTAAGTCTAACTCCCTGTAAGCCAAAACCCTTGGGTGTTGCTTATAGGATTTGTCCTTTTATGAGAGCTTGGGTTAACTTACTACATTACAAGAAGCTAGAAATACAAGTTTGATTTACATTTATATTCATCATTGACATCTATAATGAGAAATCTGAAGACCTGTCCACCATTCTCTTGTCACAAATTTTTATTTTGTCCACATGCTATTATTCCACCCTGCAGCTATATTTGTCAAATATACCAGCCAAAAAAAAGAGAGAGAGAGAGACAAAAAAAGGAAAATTATTGTCTTCTGCTTGTTTCCTTTGTACGATGTGAAATCAAGGTATTGGTGACACAGCCCTGCACATGTTGTTTTTTTTGTGGTAGTGTTGTCTTTGTCGTCTACTGTCTGCCGCTTAAAGAAGGTCACAATTAAGTTTTAACATCTAAGAACCCTGATATTCTGCATCTATTTTTTTAAAATAATGTAACTTGAATTCTCTACTCTACTCAGATTTCTGCTCAAGAAAGTAGACGTAAAAAGAAAGAATACATGGAAACACTGGAAAAGAGGTAAACTTGAAATAGTCATTCTTGTTATTTTGATTTTGTACATGTACACTTAATTTGCATCCACGGTTGTGTCAGGTATACAGCATGTCTTTTTTCAGTTTTAACATGAAAATTATGTTTTTTCTTTATCTTTCAGAGTAGAAAATTGTGCAAGTGAAAATTTAGATCTTCGCAAAAAGGTGGATACTTTGGAAACTACAAATCGGTAGGTTCTGGGGCTGAAGCTTATACTCAGTTCTCTATCAATTTTTATTATTGTATCATGATTTTTCCTTTGTAAGAAATGGTGTGAGATACTTGAATGTTGATATCCTTGAAATGATTATATTATTTGGTGCTGGAATTTACTGTCAGACATTGGACAAAATTTTGTAAATGTCCGACTAATATTGCAATTTGTTCAGACATATATTCTAGCACTTAACATCCCTGAGTTGATTTCAAAAACATTATGAGTTAAAAACATTAACAGATAAACTTTGCATTGGAGTGAAAGACTCTCTATTTTGATGAATCTCAAAAACGTCCATGTATTCGTCTTTCTATCCGGCGAAATGAAGTAGCCCTCTTTGTTACGGAATTACTGGGCTCTAGTTTCCATCTACTGAAATCTAATTTATGCATGTGAAAACACATGCTTTGAAAACCAAATGGCTGCCTGTTTCAATGATGTGAAAGATGAAGAAAGCTTTGTAAGATGAACAAGAAAACTTTCCATGCAATTTTTTCAATTTGAACAACAACGTGAAGGAAAGGCAGTGTTTGAAAGTAAATTTAGTCATGAATTGGGAGAGATTAAAGAAAAATCTGAAAGCATGACCATATTTACTCGCATTAGCTGCACCCACAAAAAAAGTACAAAGACAAAAAAGTAACAAAGTGCCATGGCCCTGTTATAATCAAAATCAAAATGTTAATTCTGCTAGTTTAATATGGAAAGTAACAATAAATTATTGTAGTTAAACAATAATTCTATAATATTATTCTTTGTCACATCCTTAAATAAGTGCATGTATTTGAGACATGAAAATTTGAGTAACACGTTATGCTAATTTTTGACCTAATTAATTTTGTTTCAAAATAAAGATCTGAAAGGTGACATGTTTTAAGTGAGCAAAATTATTGTCAGCACTGTTATTTCTTTTTCTCTCTTTTATGTTCCTTTAGTTCCCTTATAAGTCAACTTCAAAAACTTCAATCACTTATAGCAGCCAAAGTTCCTCGTGCAGTTACAGCAAGATCAACACAAACAAGCACCTGCTTAATGGTGAGAAATATAATCTTCAATTACATTCAATAACCTTTATAGTCAAAACATACTCAGGCATCTTTTCTGCTGACTCTGCTCTAAAGTTTCCTTTTTTGCACTTATCGTAAGGTATATACTACTTATTAACTGAGAGTGAGGTCATTACATTCTTATAGACCATAACATGGCTGTCTATACGGATATCCACTATCAAAGTAGTCAAAACATACTCAAGCATCTTTTCTGCTGACTCTGCTCTAAAGTTTCCTTTTTTGCACTTATTGTAAGGTATATACTACTTATTAACTGAGAGTGAGGTCATTACATTCTTATTGACCATAACATGGCTGTCTATACGGATATCCACTATCAAGTGAAACACAGATTGTATAGCCTTGGACACCTACATGTAGCTAGTAATGCTAGGTCATTCAAGAAAATAATGCCCAATCGTTACAAGAAAACAGCCAATCAGAGCACGCATACTGTTGTAGCCATATAATAATACTGTTAATACACACTTTACTCTCTTGGTTGAATATTATAAAAAAACCACCGTCTGTTTTTAGGCCAGTACAGTAGACCAGTTTTTGTACATGTATATTAAATAAAATTAATACTTGAACTTGAGTCTAGGGGGAGTAAAGGAAAAAAAAATCTCTCGAGGTGAGGGGATGAATGGTTTATTTTTTTATTCTATTCCTTAAAGCCTCAGAGCCAAGTTTGAATTTTTATTTTGAATTTCAGGGCTCAAAATAATTTTCGGACGGTGGCCAGACATGATGACCGGCCAAATAAATTTTTGCTCGGTCAAGTCTTGTTTCTGACCAGTCAAAATATTTGGAAAAAAGTCAACTTATCCTTTTGTGATTTTGTATTTGTGGAGGTAATTGTATTGTACAAAGTTGGCTGTTTGTTCCTCTGTGTGACCTGTCAACATGACCGACGAGGGAAATTTTTGGACAGTAAAATCGCCACTCGTGCCATACATTGTCCGTTAACTGGCCATTATTATTTTTGAGCACTGAACTTGGATCTGTTTTACTAGGAAATTCAACAAGCATGTGTTTACTTGTTGTACCGGTATAGCTACATTTAAAAGATCTAATTGATATTATTCCTGCTGTTAATGGTACGTTTTTGTGGTACAGGTTGTGGTGCTTTGCTTTGCTGTGTTCCTGGGCAGTTGGAGCCCTCTTTCAAGTACAGGCATTAATCTTCCATCGTTAAGTGCCTCATCAAGTAAAGGCGCAGTTGATTACAGCACACCCTCAGGTAAGAAAAAATCCCTTCATTATTAGAACGAAATGTAAACACTATAATGCAGCAGTAATTGATCATAAGGCAGTGCAAACTCATTCACTTAGTGAGAAATGAATTATCAAAGAGGTTCTTATTGTTAGAAAATTCATAGGTGACTTCTGAGAATGGCAGATTGTTCTTCCAAGTTTTCTTGAACAAATTGAGAAAGGATTTGAAATTAGGTCGAGTTACTTGGGGCCTGTTTTCTATGCACCCTTTCGACAATAATCATGTAACTGGAACCATAAAATTTCAAACTTTGAAGTTGACGTACTTACTTCTTATAACCTTCCTGTCAACACTTAGAAGATGACGGAATGAAAACTGACCCCATAAGTTGTGATCACTCATAAAACTTTCTAGGTCTCTAATATTCTCCAGACCAGTATCCCTCAGCAGTTTGTTAACCCTTTAAATCCCTATGGTGACCAACATCAATTTTCTCCTAACGATATCCATACACTGTCAAGTTATATGGTTATAAGAATTGATAAAATGATCACCAAAGTGAGAATGCATTGATCTTTTATAAAATTCTCTCCACTCATTCTTTAAAGAAATGTATGGAGGTCAGTTTGGAGTATTTGTATGTGGATATTGGGGCTTAAAGGGTTAATGTATGTAGTTGTTGGGCTTCCTCATTTGCCCTCCTTGCCATGTGTAGGAGGGGGGTGAACAGGCGAATGGATCGGTGGAAAATTTTGAAAATATTTTTGCCCGGATTTTGGATTCAAAGTGAGATTTTAATGGATTTCTGGATCCTGGATCGGATTCAAGATTCATCTACTTTTTGGGCCTGGATTTTGGACTTCAGGTGTAATTAAAATTTTTTTGCCCGGATTTTGGATTCAGGGCGAAAATGGAAGGGCAGATTTGGTTAATAAATCATAATGGATTGGCAGATTTCCATTACCCTATTCACCCCCCTCGTGTAGGCACACATATTATCAGCTGTTATGCTGGAGACTGAAGATAGCATTACATGCACCAATGTTTGTTATTATTTTCCCAAGTGCACTCAATATCTTGTATCCAGTTAAAACCAGGGTTATTGAAAGTCGAGTTACAATATTATTGACCTATCTAAGTTTCTAGAGTGTTATTTTTTACTTTGGTTAACTATTTTTCATGTATCTGGTTTCAGTTCGCTCCAGAGTTTTGTTGTCAGTTGTGGATGACCTGGATTCTGATGAGTTCATTGAGCCCTTTCCAGCCAATAACATGTTTGATCCAGTTGATCAGTTGATGCCATCCATGCCAACCAAGAACATGGCCGCAGAAAATCAAACAAAGAATATCATCTCCATGGAGACAGTTGCCATGGAACACAGAACAAATGAGAGCCAGTTGGTTGCATCTGCAGCTTGAAAGACTTTCACAGTGTTTCTAATACCACACTCTAGTTAGTAGTAAAAATGTATTAGTATTGTAATGTGCATTCAGTATTTTTAATTTGCTGAGGTATTTGTTATCTGTCAGCTCTGATAGTGAGTAGACAAAAAACTTGGGTACTACACCCTCAAATTTGCATTAGAATATTAGTACAATTTTATTACCATAACTAGAAGGGTCAAACTCGATTTATGTCGACTTTGAAAGATGACTCAGGGCTTTAGCTATTATAAATCATCTGCCAGTAGAATTCTCGAGTTCCTCTTGAAATTATTACCAATATTAATTACAATAGAATTATGACAAAGGGTATTTTAGTAGGGATAATAATTATTTGTAGTTAAAAAGTATTTTGTATTTTATAAACGAGTTGTGTCAGGTTATGAGAAAATGAAGGACCCAAAGACTTAACACGAAGTTCAAGAATATGTATAAAATTCGCCGCCGCAAATCATATCCTGTCTCCTTGTATTTTCTCTTAACATGTACAAATTTCCTTCAAACCCCGTCATACATTTTGTAACGTATTTACCGCAATAATAATAATATATCAGACTTGGTTTTCTTAATAGATAAGGTGGCTGACAACAGAGTACGGCCTTGGAGCTCTGTCGTACTCACAAGGGCTCAATTTTCAATATCGAATGCTTAAATTATAATACATGTATTTATACGTATAAGTTAAGAAAAATTATAGATTCTAATTGAGTTCGAATTGTTGCATTGATAGCCAAAAGGAGTATCGCTCCAAGGTGGCCTAAACCTATCAGATTTCTCGCCGAGAACAGGGTCTTTAAACAGGTTCTTCAGAGAGTTCACAGTATATTTTTCAAGTGCGGTGTATTTCTAGCTAATAAATGGTACCTTTTGTTTAGAAACGTGTTTAGGATTAGTAGTAGTACATTAGGAAGTTACAGTTTCGTTATTTGAAGGCGACATCAAGTAATAGGAAAAATCATGTAAATAGACTGTACAAACGCGCTAGGGATGGCGTTGAACCAAAGCAGAGTTACCCAACTATTTTAAAACGGTCCTTTTTACAAGTGTAGTACAGGTTGTGTCACTAATTTTAATGGGTTTTGTATATTAATCGCTTAATAACATTTGAATTCGGTCCATGAAGCTATTTGAAAAATTAAAGTAGCTTTCTAGGTGACAAAATTGTTCTGACAGGGACATAGGCGCCCCAAGCTTGGTGCGTAAATTACCGCGAGTTTCGATACTGTTTTGCATATTACAAACGATTTAAAGACTTTGTATAAGAAATTCAATACAGTTGTTAGAGTTACAGTTGTCGGTAATTTATGCACCGAGCTTGGGCTGCCTGTGACAGGACAACATCAATGTGAGTTTAGTAACTAAAATATTTTTGACGGGCCAAATGGCTTGTTGTTTACGGATGCAAAAAGTCTCTGGAATATTACTCCTGAGCAGTGTATCGTAGAGGGAGAAGAGAACAAGTATTAAAAATGTATTTACAAACAGTGTCATCGTAAAATTTTATGAGGTCAGTGGACATTCGCAATTTTAAGAAACCGAGAAGGAACCTGAATTAAGTTGACGTTCTGGGGCTGCACGTTTCGGCTGCTGTTCCTTTCTCGATTCTGACATTGACAAGGCCGCGTTGTGTGTGTGTTTTAACCAGCTTTTGCTGTTCCGTTTTGTTGTTTCGTTCTGGAGGTACTGAATCTGTTCCCCTTGACGTAGCTTGCAGGAACCTGCAGATCAGCTTGGTGAGCTTTCGGCAAAGGGAACTTGGGAGTGGCCGAATACGTTTCCACAAGGTAGTCAAAATGTACCAAACACTGAAGATCACGACAAAAACGTGCAACTCGTTTTGCAACAGTGCTGCAAAAGTTGCACGTTTTACCACTTAGGAAAGAATCAAACCTGTATTGCAACATATCAGATTGCTACAGGTGGAGAAAAGTTGTTGCAGAAAGTAGAGCCGGATTTAGACTGCAAAACAGTCGTTTGTTTTTCTCAAAATCAGTAAAGAAATCGGTAAAGAGTGGCGAATGAGTCTTTTAGACGTCTCTCCCCAGTCTCGCTCTCTGTTTTCAGCCTCTGACCTTTTGTTTGACTGCTAGCGCGTAGTTGAATTCGCAAAAATACGGACTGTTTTGCAGTCTAAGCCGGATTAGTTGGCTGCAACAGCCTGGCTGAGGAACAATAGGGAAAAAATATCAGCAGTGTTCTTTTATCATATTATTGGCTTAGTGCTACCTATTTCTCGTATATGGTTTCTAGGTTGAACGCCGTCAAACGAGAGAAATTTGCAGAGGCTAAGCAAAGTATACTTCAGAGCCAAGGTTTTCATTTTAAAAACTCTTAAAATGTTCACCAATACGCTGTTGATTTACTTAGCCTTTTGAAAATTGTAGAAAACAGTTGCCAAACATAGGCGTCTAGAGCTTTCAACGAAAAGAGGCTACGGAACGAAAAGAGATAGCTCACATTTTATGAAATCCCAAGGAATTTTAATGAAAACCGTCTCTGAGGTTTGACCGCGGTGGAGGCTGGGAGAGCTTGAGAACTTGCATTTACATGGGACAACCGGAAATTCCGGTTGGAAAATCAAATGGTTCGCGCCATTTCCGGTTTTCCAATTGGAAAGCTTCAGAAAATATGGGCTGTGATTGGAGGCGATGCAATTTGTTTCTTATTTTTTAGCCTATTCAGCTGATTTTATACTTTGTAGTAGGGCGTCCTCCCATACGAATAGTCTCCATTTTTCCTCAGGGATAGTAGAGCGAGCGAAACGCAAGCGCGCGTGAAAATCACCCCACGCGAGAAAGGCGAGAGGCGGTGGAGAGAGAGGCTTTCTCGCGTGAGGTGATTTTCACGCGCGCTCGCGTTTCGCTCGTTCTACTGTTCCTGAGGAAAAATGGGGACTACTCGTAGTCAAAGTTTCATGTTTATGCACGAGATTTCCACCCGGGTGGTTTGTGCTGATAAGCACCCCTTGAGTTTCATGAAATGACATAAGAAGAGAGAAACCTGGGAGCGATGTTTTTTAAGTGTGAAAAACACCTGTCACACTATGATTATTTAATTTTCGAGTATCATTGCATTGTTACTCGCACTGGAAATCCTAATTTGTTAACCATAATTAACAACGGAAATTCAACTGTCAGATTTTGAAACTAAAATGTTTCAAAACCAACTATATAGAGGCTTTGCGAGGTAATTCTTTTTTTCTAATAGCACCATTACGAAAGAGGTTACGAATCTTTTTTGGAACGTTTCCTCGAGGATTTGAACTACATTTTTCGTAACCTGGATAACTTAACTGTGAAAGAAATTCAAGCCAAATATTGGATTGCTATAAGTATCCTTACTATAATTTTTTGTTGAGATTTTCGGGGGAAGGAGGCTCAAAAAAGTTATTTTGTAATACAAAACAAAACACCAGGACTGTAGAGCTAACAGAAGAAACAATTCACTGCAGGATGTCTGGAAGATTTGTTGCTAGCAACATTGTCAGTGGTTTCCAAGGGTATTGCTTTACTAACGAGGTTGGTGTGTTTTTAAGTAGCAAGCAAATGTCTCTGAAATGGGAAAACCAAACTATAAATGATACCCAATCATGTGTTTCCACCTGCCTGTTAGTCAAAGGCGTACAGACCAAAGAAATGCCCACGCTGAAAAGAAAAGGACGCAAAACTGTTTCTTCGACGATGTGGACGCCAACGAAAAGCGTTGTTGTCAAGCCACCAGACTTTGAAGTCAAGGGTACATGCTTCGAGCTGGAAAAAGACCCAGGCGCAGAAATGGATGGTTCAATTTTACAGTCGGAATTGAAGGTTCAAGAGGAAAAGAAAAACGGTTCTACAAGGACAGAAAAATGTAGTGAGCAAGACATTTGTCCACAGGAGAGAAATGGCCGGGAAGAAGGCAACGAGGGAAAAATACTGTTAGCCCTTCTGGAATCATCGCTAAACCAAAAGCTAAATCCCGAATATATAGAGATTATACCAAGCCGCTTGAACCGACAAACTGAAATAAAATCACACAAGTTGGGCCCTTTATCTCCACGGCCAATAATCAAGGACGAAATATTACCAAAGGAATTGAAATTTGGAATTCGAAATCCCAAAAAGTTGATATCGGCCTCAGCATTCAAACGCCTGGAAGAAAATCGGCCAAAAACAGCGTTTAGTTTCCACAAAGGAAGGCTTGAACCGCTGCTTCCTCGAGAAAAACCAGCAGTAAATTTACACAAGGAGCTCGAGTTAGAGGAGGCTAGGGCGAGGAGAGAAACACGCTGTAATTGACACCTGTCCATGACCTGTTTTACTGAAACGGCTCTTTTTTGTAGCGTTCTTCAAATCGTAATCACTGAATAGGTATCTTGCTTAAAAACGGCTGGTTTACCTAAAAAAAACTATGACACACTACACTAACGTCTTAAAAAAGAGAAACTTTTTAATTTTTTAAAAATGTAAATACATTGTATTCTGAGCCTATAAAGTTGATTCAAGACTACTAAGAGCTCTAAACATCGTTGTTTAACAAATATTTGTACATGTTATCGGATAAGTACGTTGAACAGCGTTCCTAGAGTGCAAGTAAATCGATAAGAGCCTTATTTACGGTAATTTCTTTCCTGTACAATAAAATTGTTTTCTAAGGTGTTACACAAAGTTGACGCAAAACATCTCAAATTCTAAAAGAAACCTGGCTTTGTTTAAGAAATAAAAAGCGCTAAGAATAGAAAGGAGGGAAGTTTAATTTAACTTCTTAAGATCTTCAACATCAAACATGTAGATCTGCTATTAGTGATTCAAGAAATAGAACCGTATTTCCTTGTAAAAATCCCGAAGGGTATGTTTCCTTCCCCATAGCCTGCGAGCGAGCTCTCCTATTTGGGCAAGCGAAGCGAGCCTCGCGAGAACGCGCGAGCGGGAGATGGAGGAAAGGAGAGCTTGCCCTGCCCCTCACGGCTTCGCCGCTCGCTCGCGCGTTCTCGCGAGACTCGTTTCACTCCGGCGCCCAAATAGGAGAGCTTGCTCGCAGGCTACCTCCCCCAAAAATCAAGAGAAGAGATTGTGGTTTTCCAAATTTGTTTGATGTAATTGTTCAAGTAATATTTCCAAAACTTAAAGTGAGGAAGGAAATAGGGTGTGGGCAGAAAATTAACAAAGGACCGGGGGGCTTGTGGGTATCCGCACAATTGACGTAAATTGTACAGATATCCAAAAAAAAAAAACAGGGACAGTAGAAGGCTTGGTTACTCAGTTGTACCTGGAGAAAATAGCTGAAGAATTCACGAGTAAAAGAGAAGAGAAAATAGACTAACTACTGCCTAAAAACACCAAGAGTGGCAAGACTACCACTAAATGGATGAAAACTATTTGAAGATAATCTGTAGGAATAACATTCCTTCAAAACCTAAAACTTTGAGGAACAGGCCATTGTTATGAAGACGAGAGAGATTGCAAGCACGTTTTGTTGAAGTTGGAAATATTTTGAATGAATCTTAAACAACCATTGGAATTGGCTGTCGTGTGATATGGAGAATTATGCAGTTCTCGGATCCGGAGGGTGTCATCCTCCTCGATCTGCATAATTCATCATATAATACTCTGCCTCATCCAATTATTCCTTATCAGAGAAAAAAAACCAAATAAACGCTTAACGAGTAACTTAGCTGATCGGTTAAAAAATTTGACGGTATTTGTTACAGGGAATGCTCCTCCTATAAGTGAAAAGACACTGCAGCGTTCTGACCAGTGTTAACACTTGGAACAGCTTCGGAACTTTGGAATGAGTGATGATGATGACCTCTCAGTTCATCCAGTAACTCTTCTTCTGCGGGTTCCACTAGTCCAGAGCTGAAGAGTTGATGAAAACGGCCGCCCCCTGTCATTGTTACTTCGGTCTGAAAAAATAATACACACGTTCGTATAAACTGGTAGAAATAAAAAAAAATCGAGGAAATTCGTTCGATTGACGCCGCACGAGCACAGTGCAAAATACGTGCATGTGATAGTGGCGTCATTTGCCTCAATCTCCGAGAGGACTTTGGGAACGAGGTTGCATTCGCCCTGAAAAATGATCGCTGTAGAGAGGAGTAGTCGTTACGTCATGATGCTAGTGGAAGCAAAATTTCTGGACCTCAGTAAACCGTGGTCCTGCAAATATAGCAGAAAAAAATATCGAAAAAATTGACATGATTGCACTCAGGAACAAAACGGTAGCGGTACATTGTTCGACAATGCTAATGGCCGTCTCAGTTACGAACCAATAATTTTGTTACCATGGTAACAAGACGTCACACCACTCCTCTCTCATTATATAGATAGATTTACAGCAAAGCTTCTTGTAATGATTACCTCTACACTAGCGAGTGTGAGTATTCTATAATCATCAGATCGTTTGAATGGAATATATCTGTGGTGGCTCACAGCAGTTTTCTATATTTTGCATTCAGCAGTTGCTCCCTGTTAAATCGACAGACTGTACGATTCGTTGCCAGATAACGACAAGCCAGAACGTTCGGTACGGTCTAGTCTAACACCTTGCGGGAAAAGCCAAATTATTTTCAACATTAAAGTAAGAAAGGCCCATCAGTATACTTACTATGACTGAGTGTGAATTTTCCCTTAGTTCTTGCTGTTTTGTTTCCCACTGACTGATAAAAGCCTGTAAAATAATAATAATAACAATAATAATAATAATAACAATAATAATAATAATAATAATAATAAAAAATAGGTAATGAAATAAATAAACACCAGAATATGAGTGAAGTTCTTGCCAAAGGAGCAACACGTTCTCGCCAGTATTCGTCCGAGATGCGTAGGTCTGTAGTAAAGTCCCCTTTTTTCGCTTCTCGTGAACAACTTGAGTTTAATACATGTGAGCAGCGGAATCCCGGTTTTTTAAACCACCTTGGCGGAAAAACAAATTGGTTCGAATTATCGGGAGGTTTGAAAATTCGGGGGTAAAATTACTGTGTTTGACTGGTGGGGGGAAGTAGGGTTTGGTTTAGTCTGCTACACAGCCTTTTTTAGTGTCGTCACGCAACGCTCCTCCTTAGTGGGGAGGAGCGTTGCGTGACGACACTAAAAACGGACTAGCTTTGGTTGGAATTATCTAGAATTTCGAAAACCCGAGGGTAAGAGAAATCCGGATTCTAACTGTCTGACTTTGTTTAAACTTTAAAGGCAGTACTCGTGTTGACCTACGCCTCCCATTTGGCTGAAAAGTAAACAACAACAACAACAACAACAGAAAAACTTTACTGTACAAGAAAGAACGGTGAACTGACCTCTAAAATTAACGCCACAAAAAGGTTAATGATGAGAATAACAGACGTTAAATACCAAGCGATAAAGTACAGCTGCGACCACCTGGAACATGGAACAATACAATTAATACCAAACTTGATAGTGATTAAAAATTTCTGTCCGTAGTCAGGTATAGTTTAAAATTGGTCAAAAATTTCACTTTGACTGATGTCAAAATTTTGTCCATATCGATTATGCCAAAAACTACATCTAGCAAAACTTCAAGGACTTCTGTCCGAAATATGCCATGCAGTTTTAACTTGCACTCTGTGTGACTTACCCACTAACGACGTCGGCATACTCTTTAAGAAATACATGCCAGTTGTTAACCACCATCAAATCCCATAACACCACCAATGCTGCCTGCAAAATAACACACAAAAATTAAAACAATCACTAGAAACCAGTCATCAAGACGAAACACCTTAAAAGACGTTAATGACACGCCAAGCTTCGGACGTTTGACACTGATAAAGCAATACTTGTCGTAAGGTTCTTTGAATAAAGTCTGGCTAAAGTGAAGAACTATTTCAAGGCGGTTTGGCGGTCTTAAACGACTAATTGCACGATAGCTATATTTGACGAGAATCACTCAGTATTTGTTTGGGGAAGGGGCAGATCAGAGATAAGAGAAAGTGAAAGGGCTTGCTCAGGGTATGGGCTTACAAAATTTAATTGATACTATTATCAATAGCCCACGTCAGATATATTAAAACTCTAACATGACTTCGAGGCTTTCTGGTCATTTTTCTATATTTGGTTTGGTATTCTTTGTGCTCAAATCGCTTCTGGGAATTGCGAGACAATGGAGTGGTAAAAAATTTGCAATTTTGACCCTTAAGCCTGGAGTCACGTTAGAATTTTAATATATCAAACGTGGGCTATTTTACTGAATGTAGCCAAATGAAGCAACAATGAAGATGACTCTTTTAGAGTCGACAGTACCAGTTGCTTGAATCAGACCCCGGGAAGTCCATCATTTTCTTAGAGGACTGTACAGTGCACAAAATACACGACCGCGCTTTGAAAATCGCTACTCACGGGGAAGATTAACAAAAAAGATATTTATCATTTCCTGTTCTGAAGAAAATAGATATCATGCTGCAAATAGGTGGTTTTAGTTTAAATGAGTTTTGTCAGCGCACTTGAGACATCAACAGTGTCGATAAGAGTGCACTTTCTAAAATAACTTTTTAAAGAGTTATTTCAATGGAAAAATGTATACTTACAAAGAAATCGTCGAAGTTATTTGCGTAGTACTGTAGCTGGTCAAATGAACCACATTCCTCAACATACATACTGTCGGCAGAAAAGAAAAACAAAATAAAATAAAACTGTGTTCCTTAGTGCGACGAGATCAATTACTTACCACCGAGAATAGTACGAAATGCCACAAGCTTGGTAATATAGAATTTAGCAACCAACAGATTACCCTGATACCATTTGGTTATTCTCACAAACGTAGTCAGTCCTCAAAGACATCTCCGCATACGCAGTTGCGGCGCAAAGAAACACTTCAACAAGACTACTGAAATACTCCAGCAATAGAGTAACAAAGCGCATGGCAAATGCTAAAAAGTCTTCTTCGGCGAAAATGTATTTCCAGCCATAGATACCATACAGCCTGAGAGCGCTTCTAAAGAGCGTTGCCTGATATTGTATGGGAACTTAGCGCAATTTTCCAAGGTCTGTTGAGTTCCTGAAAACTGGGCAGTTTATAAAGGAGGAGCTCCTTGCCTCTTCTGACAGAAGATGGTTACATGTACGACATATAATCAGACCTCAAATGGTTGCAAAAGGCGAAAGAATGAAAACTCACTTCAAGTTATATATAAATAGAAACGCAGCACACCTCACGAGCTTCTGCTAAACAAATTATAGGCATATGTTTAAGAACAAAATCTTAAACACTTAATGACTGGTCTAGAGGGAAACAGTTAATTTCGTTTCCCGAGGCGGAGCCGAGCGAAACATTGAGATGCGACGGAAACACAATGAACTGTTTCCCGAGGGACCAGTCTTTAAGTGATTTGTTACATAGCCCACGAAAAAAAACTTTTTCGTGTACAAAGTTATGAAAATAAATCTCACCAGCGGTCAACATTCGCGCGTAGCAGTGCACTGTTACCGGCTGTAATGGCAGAGATTTTGCAATGTTGCCCTCTCAGAGATTTTGGTAGGAAACAGTTTCAGTGTTAGAAGTCATGTGACCTCGAAGTAACCAATGAGATCGCGCGCTGCTGGGAAAAAATTTCCAGCTATATAACAAATATATTTGTTGCCACAATAAAATAGCAGTGTTTTACCGTGTTTTATTGGCCCCAACATTTGACGGATCAGTGACACCATTAAAAAGCATCATTCCAAATATTGCGAAAATATAATAAAACGCCTAGAGGGTAAGATACAAGATGACAGGTTATAACAAAAAAAAAATATGCAAACGAACAAACAAACAAACAAAAAAAACGGGCACTTAATTTTTACAACTAAACCTAAGGATGGCTACAAAAAGCGTTTCATTCAATAAGATAAAACTACCCAATTGTTACGAACTTATAACGAATAAGCACTGAACCTCTTAACAGCAAAGGCGAGCTTCATTGGAAGAACTTAAAATGGAGCGCGACAGTTGTGAAAATGGCTAATGTCAACTTAAAGCCACTACCTTTCACTTAAAACCAACTAGCAACATAGGCCCTATATAAAAAATATAACAGTACTCTTCCAAAGAGTAGTTTTAGTGTTGTATTCAGAAAGAGAGAAACTCCGCTGTCTTTATTTTTGAACACGAGATGTAAATATTTCAACTTACCACTATAATACCCGCGAAGGGCCTCAAGTTTTTTAACAACTTCAACAATGTTTTGAGAATCAGACGAAGCGCCTGAAAGAAAAAGACACAAATGACAAAAAACAACAACAAAAACAAAACAAACAAACCAAAAAGGTAATAAACATTTAACACAAAAATAGGAAGAAAATCTAAACTAATGGTGAACTACAGTTTTTGACCTTGATTGAAATTAACTAAGTTGATGAGACAAAGACCAGAGATAATTGATGAAAAACTGTACGTGTAGGTTTGAGTTCAATGCACGTGCAGAGTCGTTGCTTTTCTCAGGAAATAGCTTTGGCTACGATTTGATCACACTCGCTTGAAAACCATCCTGAAGACATTTTAAACTTCTTTCTCCCATGAAACGCGAAGAAAGACAAACAAAAGCCAAAAACTTACCCTGACATGAGGTACAATTCTTAACAGACGAAATGTGATCAAAATGTTGATGACTTGTGTTAGATTTCTCAGGTCAAACGAACTTCTTTCATAGCTTCCGTCGTCTGACCTAAAAGTAAATACGAATATGAAAAAATTTGTGCTTAAACATCAGAATTCTAACAGGAACAAACGTATTACGTTACTAGGACCTAAATACATCTCGTGCTACAATATTCTCAGACGGAATATTTTCGGGCGAATTTGAGCACATTTTGGGGATGTTTTTTCCCCTGAAATTTCGGAATTAACCTGAGATCAGACTCAATTTTCGTTTCGCTTTGTAAATAACATTCCGGCGGGCAAGGCGAAACGAAGTCATTTTAAACGAAACAATTCTAGCGCTAGCCGTTAGAGAGAATGTATGAGAACCGCTAAAATTGGGCCTGATCTCAGGTTATTTCAGAATAAGCACACTGAGCCGGAAGATAGAGTGTCTTGTCGAAATCTGAGTGCGTTTAGATTAAACGCAACACATCACAGAAAAACCTCGAACAAACAAAACAAAATGAAAATGTTTGCATACTAGAAGGCTGGAACTAGCCTGCAGTCGAGAATACTGCTGGAAATCTCCCGAAATAACCCTCGACTTCATGCTATTTCTAAAATAAATTAATATGGTCTTTTGGCGCCGCTCTTGTGTTCAAATTGAGTTAGTCGAGAAATTTAAGTTATTTAATTCCACTTACTTTGTAAAAGGAGAACCATACAGGCTGACATGTACGATCTCTATAACCTGCAAGAATTAAACGACGCATATTATCTAGAAAATTGGTACGGACGTGCGATACTTTAAACATAATGTATACAGCATGACAATTAGAAGTGGGAATGCGAAATAAATTTAATGTGAAAAAATATAGTGACCACACGTAACTCCGAGTTTCAAATATCCTGGGTCAACAACACGTTAGCGGTATTCAGCTTTCCTTTAAGGCCGTCCCTTCAAATCATCTAAAATCTATTAAAGGTTTAACGGATAAAATGGTTAAATAATACTTACAACTAAGAAGAGTGTTATGGCTCCACAATAAATATTGACCTACAGAGTTGAAAAATGCACGCATTAAAAGGTGGAGTTCTAACTTAAACATCCTAAACTTACTGCAATAGTAGTCCATTTCCGAGTTACTCTAAAGCTACATGCAAACGGACGCAACAACTCCCAACATTGTTGGCCCAACAATGTTGGTTGTTGTTGCGTGCGTGTAGGCAGTAGTGTGAAAACGGATGCAACAAGTCCCAACATAGTTGGGCAAACAGTGTCGGCTGGGGGTTGTTGCGTCCGTGTTGGCAGTGGCCTGCAAACGGATGCAACAACTCTTAAAAAAAAAAAATTTTAACAGTGTTGGCCCATCACGGGTGTTGGCCTATCACGCAAAGTTATGGCGTTACTGTTTGCAACGAGACCAAGTGTGATGCGCGTGGGTGGCCCCAACTAGTTGTTCGAAGAGCTGTGCAAACGGATCCAACATTGTTGCGCTACGCTCCGGCGATCACGGAACAAAAGAAATGTTTGGAGCTGTTGGCTGAAAAGATTGACCGCTTTCAACCTTTGAGAACATGCAACAAGGTAGGCAAACGGACGCAATATATAAAATCCAACAATGTTGGGAGTTGTTGACCAACAAAGTTGCGCCCGTTTTCACGGGGCTTAAGCCTCTTTTTCAAAGAGGCTCCTGATGCTCACCCTTTCACGTGAAAATGCGATTTCGCATTCGCATTTCCGTATGTATGGTTGTGCAACACGCCTCGTTTCGAAAAAGAGGCTAAGAGCCACTTGAAAAGGGACTGGTAAGCTTTAATTAAACTGTACTTGATCGGCTACCAAGGAAGTGGTTGGTAAAACTAGGCTAAAAAGAGTCTAATAACGAGGCAAAATGTTTTATATTTACACTAGTTCTCTCTAAAACATTAGCAGTTTTTATTTCAATATCATAACTACAGAGTCGGGATTTTTTAAAAGTTTTATCAAATACATTACGTCATTGAAATGCTAATAACTTTATTTGGTACGGCTACCGACAGTGTCATACCAAAGATGATCGATATCTCTGCCATCCAACGGCCCACAGCTTCAACAACTACAACCAAAAGAAAAAATATTCATACGACTAGACTGAATACGTGAATCGCAGCAGGAGTAAGAGTACAGGGAAAGAGGCGAATAGTTCGAGGGAAAAGAAAATATATGACAAACAGACAAAAAACAAAATAGGATAATCCAGAGACTGCTGGAATTGACTGCCCTCATGTAAATCAATATAAAAAATTAAAATGTTAGGAAAATCTTAACCCATTCAAACCTCAACCCGTGCAGATCAACAACGCTTCTGGCGTTTGGAATACTATCAGTTTACAGGGTCATTGACAAAGTTTAACCTCCGCGGGGGACGAGATCTTTCTAACCAAACCGAGATGAACACGATTTCGTCAAACCGGAAAAACACAAAGAAACAATAAAGTTCATCAAAAAATCCCAATAAACTCTTCATAAGCAATTCACCCGTAAGTTTTTGAAAAAAATTCACGATCCTCGCGCGGGCTTTCCGTGGAGACTTTTCCCGCCTAAAAGTCTAGTAAATACCCTGCAAAGGAAAAAAGGGGGAGAACAATGACGCCTCGAGAAAAATGAAAAAGTAAAAACACAGTTTTGGTCCCGTCTAGCAATAATGATTAGAAAATGGCACGACTAACTTCAGGAGGCATTGTTTGGACAAAATCCCTTGAAATCATTGAAATTCCTGACAGTTTTACAATTTTTTGAGAGTGAAAACGTTTCACACAACAGCGACAGGAAGATGGTGTAAGCTTTACACTGTCGTTTAAGTTACGGCCTTATGTTTGTGAGAACAATAAACAAATGCGCGCACAGGGAAAAAGTTAACTGGCATTTCCTTACCTGTTCTAAGAGGTAGTATAACACGAAAATTAAATTGGCAATCTGCAAAAAACGCGAAATTATCAGGTGTCAAGGGAGCAGTAACTAACATACTGTAGTATCTAATGTAACTGAGTTGCGTGAATAATTCAGTTCGCGCCAAATGATAGGCTTTCGAGCCGCTGTTCAAGAAATGGGACCGCGCTCCCTCCCCGAACCAACAATAGGGACCTTATGAAACTATGACGGCGACGGCAAGGAGAACGTCAAAAATCCAATAGGTTTAATGAGCGAAACAAGAACTCTGCACGTGCATCACGCTTTTTGTACATTTCTTTGTTGTCCCTGCACAACAACGACGTGAAATGACCACATTTTAAGTTTACTTGAGTACGGGAACGGCAAGGCGATAAATTCTACCATCCCTGTCTGATCTCGGGCGCGGCCCCTTCTCTTCAGCTCCAACCAAAATTCCCTTCTTTTAAGTAACATGGCAAATTAAGATAATCGCGAAAACGTCTAAAAGGATGCGGAAGCCTATTTTTCAGTGACGTTTTCATGGACGTCCCCGTTGTCGGATCGTAAGGTCCCTATTTCCTTCTTGGGGAAAACCGAGAGAGCACCGGAAATCGAGCCAAGCCAAATGATAACACTCACTTTTTAATATTTCTGATATCTTCGTGTCATGTAGATGACCCTCGTTTTTAGGCTAAAACGGTTCCAAATCTATACTTTTGGAACGGTACACCCTAGATTGCTACAAGACCGCGCAATGTTTTAATCTGAAAGTCAGTGGGCGAAGTCAATCTCACGACGCGCACGAAATATAAATTTATGGCGAGTGTAATCTGCCTTGCGGACTCCAGAAACTATGACAGTCGGGGCAATATTTATTTTCCTCCGACTTGTTTGACGCGTGGTTGAAATAATCTCGATGTACGCTTTAATTCGGCGATCGATCTTGAAAATTGAAGGTATACTGGGAGATTGTTAGCAGTGTATTATTGTGGAACTTTGATGACTGAAAGAATATTGTTCAGTCAGACATTACAAGACATGAACATCACCACTTACCGCCAAATGCGAGTTTCTGTTCACCCATATTGTGTCTTGTTCATAGTCCAACAAAAACTGAAAGTCAAAGAATAACCGCGTACGAATTGTCGTGCAGGCTCTAAGTAAGCTTTTTTTACCCGTACCTTATGGACGTTTAGGGGGCCAACAAAGGATAAACAAATAATTGCGTCGAGGGAGTCAAAGACTCCGACGGTTCATGTTCTGCATGCAATGATCTTGTAAGAGAACCTTTGCCACGCCTTTTCTATAGAAGAGGCTAAACATTTGTCCTCAATCTTTACTAAGTTTTTACCAAAATACTGTCTTAAATTCATAGCAGGCTAAATTCATCCAATTCATAGCAGGTTCCAGGACGTCATCTATTATAAAGACTGGGCGAACAATCTATGTTAGTCTTTGTAGAGGGTGTTTAAAGGAGAAAGGAAGCGGGAAACAAAGACGCGCGAGGAAGGAGGGAAGGAAACTAAACACGTCTTTTTCCCCTCTCGCGCGCCCTTTTTCCTCCGGGGGAGGGGTATCCCCTATAACGTCCTACTTGGAAACGTTCCTCTCGAAAACTTTTTCAGGCTTCAGGCAAAGGTTGGGATTTATCATTCAGTGGTTTCATTCTTTGTAAGTAGGTATGTGAAAAGGGTGCAAGTGGCTGGACATTGGGGCTGAGCCTCCCCGCAGAAGACTTTGTTGAGTAGCCCCCCCACCCGGTTAAGTCCCCCTTTTCATGCCCAGGCTGTATTCCTTGGGTCACGCACGTTTGAAATTCTGAGAACCAGTATGGGGCTTTCATACTTACAGACACGAGTAGTACATTCACTGCACACATAAAATCGCCGGTGTAATCAAATAATTTGTTAGAGACAAGGATTTGAATCTTTCTTAGTACTCTGTTCTCTACAAAGCTCATGGCTGGTCTTGCTCGACGCCTGACTCCCTGGTCTAGTACATCAAACAAGTCCTGGAATTGCTTTGCTGTTAGGTGACCAGTTGGATGTTGAGTCAAGGACTACAAACGCGAAAAGAAAAGAAAATACCTTTTCAATGACTAATCACTTCCTTGGAGACCTATGAGCAAGCGAGTTAGTTAGGTTGGGGTATTACAGCCGCGGCGAGCTTCCGGGAATTTCTCTTACAGAGGCATTTCGAGAAGCATTTGAAAGCATCTTAAAGAGGCTGTATCACGGTTAGCCTGCGAGCAAGCTCTCCGGAGCGCTCCGGCGGCGGAGCAGGAAAAGGAAGGACAGCTTGCAACTGCGTCTCTGGAATTTGAATATCTGCATCGAAAAAGTCGATGCGAAATGCTGATTGGCGGAGATGACTTCAGTATTGACGTCATCACCCTTGGCACGTGTTTTTCAATGTTTGTTTACATTCGCGCTCGTTTCCGATTCGCGCTGATTGGCGAAAATCTGACAGCTCAGTCGACGGGGAGCCAAAGGGGAATGGGAGGTGGAATTAAAATTCCAGAGATGTAGTTGCAAGCTCTCCTTCCTTTTCCCAACCCGCCGCCAGAGCGTCCCGCAGAGATTGTTCGCAGGATATGTCACGGCCCAGCATGTATTTTGTTTATGAGCGTCTTTATTCGCTACAAAACTTGAAAAAATAACTCGTGAATAACAAAATAACAGCTTGGTGTTCAACAGATATGTCCCCCTAGCACCATATCAAACGTTACAAACAACAAAAACGAACTCTGAAAAACCGTTTGTCTGACAAGTTTTCAAAAACTACGATAATAATCTGTTTCGATCGTCAACACGTTTGTTTTGCTCAAACGCACCAATTAAGGGTGCGTTCCTTTGAAATGATCTGGATCAGGATGGTAGATCAAATGAACCGTTGAATCCTTGTCAAGAGTGGATTCATCGGGTCATTTAATCTACCATGATCCGAGTGATCTCGGATCACTGATCCTGATCCGGATCATCTCAAAGGAACGCATCCTTTGATCTCGAAGAAAGTGGCGCGAAATGTTTCAGCCAATCACAAAGAACAGTTATGTAAAACAAGAACAATCACGAAATTGTCTCAACAATCAGTTGAAACTGTTCAAAATGCAACTAGAAGCTCCAAAGGTAACAAAATATTCTTAGTTCTTACATAAAGCACGCGTTGTCCACCTCGTGAGCCAATCTTTGCTCTTTCAATGGCTTGCCTGGCATCTGCAGTACTTATCGTTCCTCTGCAATAAAAACCATAATGTCTATATTCGAGTATCATTTCCGAAACAAAAAAAGTAAAGGTACAGAAAAACAGGCAACAAAAACGTGCTACTTGTTTTTCAACATTGCTGCAAAACGATGAGTTGAATAGTAATATATATTACTTACAAAGGAAGGTCGCTGTCTGTATCTTGAATTTGAAGAAGAACCTCAAAAGCAGCTCTAATACCAACTCTTCGACGGAAGAAACTTGCTTGTAGTGAACTCTTAAAGAGAGTGAAAAAATAGTTTTCGTTTTCCTGAGACATAAACATCATATAAGGAAACTGAGTTTTCTAGTACCCACTCGGCACTTTTTCTCCGTCTTTCTGCTCCCGACAATATTCGCAATTGAAATTGACCGCTTTTGAAGTACCTCTGCTTAAAATGGATCTCTTGATCTCTCGTTAACCCAATTGTTACAAGTCTTTGAGTATGTGAAATTCTTTGGACTGGCAAACAAGAGAGTTATCTAGCATTGACTGTTTCAAAGCTAAACTACAAAGCAGACCTCTTTGGTAGACTGTGTAAAGAGGCCTGTCCAAAGGTAGTTTAACACCTCCTTGTAAATAGTTTGAAGTTTTACTTCATGAATATAGCATAAGCCAACAGTTACATTGAAATTCAATCGTAGTTTACTGAATTTTTTCTAAACACAGATCTGCTGAAATTTTTCTATACGGTGTATAAATAAATGCAGCTACCATAAATCCAAACCATTAGGTTATTATAACCGGGAGAAAACCGAAAATTTGACATGCACTCGCTCAACAGGACTTACGGTCAAAAATCCTCTGAACTGATTGTAGATAACAGCAGTCAACAGATTCAAAAAGAAGTAAAGTCCTGTAAGAAAGAAAAGAGTACCATTAACTTTAAAGCATGAAGGGCAGTGCTTTTTTTCTCTTGGCCTGCAACAAGAATTGGCGACACAATTGTTGAGACATTATTGTACTCAAATAGGGTAACTTCAGAGAACAAATGACATACCTTTCTCCCCTCCCCTCCATTCTAGTTCGAACAGCGGCACGACATTGCATGGAGGTGATCAGAGAGGAAAAGCTTTTATTTTCCCCTTCTGAAGCCAGTAAAACGTCAGAAATTCCGTTGAGTGAAGTGTCTCACCTAATTTTGTCGCCGATTGTAGGTTCTCTTATAGGAGAGCGAGCCGCGTAGCCCCCAGGTGTATTTAACAATCTTTCCTCGAGCCCGAATGGGCTCTTAGTCAATAGTCGGCCTCATGGGCTACTGACTCAGAGGCCATGAGGGCGAAAGGTTTAATTGTTTTAGTAAAACCCAACTAGTTGGTCACAAATATCGAGACAAAACAACTTTAGCTAGGAAAACGCGATTCAGCCGCCATTGTTTTGGTTTTCAAAGCGGGCGCTTTTCGCTACTAGTGGGCTATAACATATAGCCTAGTAGTAGCTCAACCAATCAGAACGCTGCATGGATAACAGACCACCAGTTGGATTCTACTAATCACATTTTTGTGCCTGCCATCTTACGATCTATAAAGCACATTATAATACAGCTGAGTCTAATAAATTGACAATATAGCCTAGATTTTACCAGGATGATATTTCAATGTGACTTCTTTTCTTGTGCCTACCTAGGCTGGCGCCTAGGCTAACCGAGGGCCACACGCATTGTAATTGACATTGAAAATTGATGGATAAAGTTGTTGCTTTGGGTAAGTACAAACCGGAACGAATTGCTAAGTGGGTAAAACTAGGTGTCTACAAAATCTATATCATCGACATATAAAAAAAGTAGTTTTAAAAAAGATTAGAGAACTGTTCTAAGTAGCTGGTTACAAAGGGGAAAGAAGGCTTTAATTGGCTAAGTAAGAAAGCTTTTAAAATAAGACTTAACATGACTTACCAACTATAGTAAATGTCACAAAGAACACAGCATACCATCTGTTTTTCATATACGCGTGCATCATTACTACAAGAGAATTTATTAAAGAAGAGGTAAATCCGTCTCTATTGGGTTCTGTGGAAAATGACAATTTGTCTGGCTGATGATGCTCTGCAGTGAAAGGAGTATGCTCGCAGTTGTATTTTGCACATGCTAAAGAGGTTAGAAAGGCTAACTATCATACATAATAAAGAACATATTAATGGACTGCCATTATTAAAGAGGTCTATATATTTCCAATTCAACCATTACCCAATCACAGCTTACATAGTGGCTTCACCAATCATAGCGCATATTGGTTTCTCAATTCAAACGATCATAAAACTCTCAGCTCAGTGTTCCACAGTTGATGGCATCAAAACTTAGGAGGGGAAGGGGACTAACCAGGCTAGTCCCCTCCCCCTCCTAAGTTTTGAATCATAGGAGGTGTGGTCGAGGACTGAGTATTACGACTGGCAACGAACTAGTACTGGCTGCAGACGCTTCCCTCACCGGTACTTACCCAGCGCTCCGCGCTCACTGAGAGAGAGGAACGAGTGGTTAACAACATGCAATTTTTTTATTGACCGCGCGCAACACTTCACTGTCGCTTCGCAATCACTTATCTCTTGTCCTTTTTCGTGCACAACAGACGTTTTCCCTGCGCATTCTGCAGGGATCTAAGAGGCAAAGAATCTCCACTCACCATCTGGGTTATTAGCAGTAGTCAACAGGACCAGAAGACTTCTTAACGAAACTTCAAACGACGAAAAGTAGTAATAGCCTTCACAATTCAAACCGAGTTTTAAATCCTTTCTCTGGGAGCCACACTCAGTTTCCTGAAAACAATATAATACGAACGTAAGCAATATATAAATGTTTAACGAGTCACACTTACATCAGTTTACCCTACACTCACACTAGCTTAAAGTGCTACAGCAACTAAAGTAAAAGGCTCTTCATTAACTAGTGTGCTGACTGGATGCAATTTCAAAGGTTCACACAATGCCCACATAAAAGCTTTCCCAGCACTCAGAGCTCTCGTAACAATGGAGACTGTTAAGAAGCGGTCCTACATGGTGGCAATCAGAACTTGTAATTTAACACTCAGGTTAACCTTGCAAGTAAATAGGGAATATTATAAAAAGAGTGGATAAAGTTGTAAAGGTTGGTACTCCAAAATAAATGCTGTTAAAAAGAATTGAAAATAGTTCAATTAAAACGAGTAAAGATTCCGGTTTCTTATGTCTTGGAAAATAGCGGAAAATAGCAAACATTAAAAATAAAAGTACATTACCGCAAGGGTATTGTTTTTCCTCAGCTTAGACTTCAAGTTGGCGAAAAAATCACATGAAACACAAAAAAAGATTGATCAGCCTGGCAGCACAAATGAATTTCATTAATTTCATTAAAGCGGGATCTTACGTGCAGCTGGCCAATCAGAACTGAGGCACACACTAGGCTGATTCAGCAACAGGACGAGAACGTCAGTTGACGACGGGAAAGCGCGCGGAAAGGACTAAACACGACTTCCGGTGCTCAATTTGCCGCTCTGCCATTGGTCAAGCCAGTTGCTTGGTTTGGGTGCGCGTCGTCAACTGACGTTCCCGTTCTGTTACTAAATCGGCCTAATAAACCGAACCAATCAAAACTCGAACAAAAAAGCGTCTGACCTACGCCAAGCGTGAGAAAAGCGCGCGAATCAGGATTAGTTTTGATTTTTCTCCTGACTGTCACCAAAGTGGCGGGGCATTCTTTAGCCAATCAACTAGCGCAAAGCAGTTAAACTGAAGTGTAATGAAAGACCACTGGTAAGATTAACCTTACCTGATTTCTCGTAGCGTGCGAACTTCGAACTAGAACTAGAACTTCTTATTTGGCCCCGTCCACCCTAATGCGTTTTCGTTTAAAAACGCGTACATTTTGATGCGTTTAGGCCTTCCGTTCACACTAATACGCTGAGGGTTTTCATCGAAACGCATCGATTTGAAAACGCTCTTGAAAGTAGATCAAAACGAAAACGCATACATATCGTATTAGTGAGGACGGTTGAAAACGCACCAAAATGAAAACGATGACTGAAAATATCGCAGGCGCGTGTTTTTGTAGTATGCTCGTAGAGTTCAACTTACGTCACAACGTGCATTTCGAACGTTTTTGAACGTTTTAGTGCGAACAGTCGAAAACGCATCAAAACGGTAGTGTGGACGCGAATCGATCGTTGCGTTTTCGATGACAACGAAAACGTATACTTTTAAAAGCGCATTAGTGTGGATAGGGTCTTAGTAAAGATTAAGTGACCTACTTGTGGAAACAAAAGCATGCCACACATGGCAAAGAACCACAAATGAAGCACCAGAAGGAACAGCACACTGAAATTAAGAGACAAATATGTTAAGCTCATGGAATACATTCATGCTAAGGGTCTGGGGCCAGTTGTACAAGCAAAGGTAACTGCTATCATCTAAACGTGAGATGCAAGTGATGACGTCCACCTTCAGTCTTGTCCAACTGCCCCCGGATTCGGACCCAACACCCTGGTAAAAACTCATAACAGCCCCTGCAGGCGTCTAAATGTGCTCAACTGTGTTACTTTTCAAAAGTAGGTTGAGTTTGTGTTACTTTTGTTCCTTTCTGAGCTTTGTCACGTTTTGTTCTTTCTAGAGCAGAACACAGTGAGCTACTCGTGAACTTAAGCAACCACCACGGAGACGGCGGCGAAAACGTGACGGCACTTAAAACGAATTGGCGCTGTTTCAAAATTCATCGCTCGTATTCAATTTTTCAAGTGTTGAGTATTTCTAATGCTGAATTCTAAAGGACGTACTTAAGTTTAGAGAAAGGTAAAACAAATCGTCGTCTTGTGACTATGTCTTCCATGAAACTGAAGTGAAGTAGTTGAGCCTACCTCGACGAGGACGACTTCGAGGATGGAATTTTTACAATGCTAAGCAGTACACGCGAGTGAACCAGCGTCATTTTAGCGGGAAAACGTGATAGCCGTCGTCATTCTACTACGAGTTTTAGCAAGATGACGCAATGGCGGAGACAAATTACCAAATGTTAGAAGAAGTTTATCATTTTGCGCTCTGAAGAGGACTTAACCTCCTTCAATAAAAAAAACTTGTAGACTTTCCTGGTAGAAATAAGTATAATGAAGGTGTCTGGTATCGTTTTTTTTGAGAAATCGCGAAAAAACTTTAAAGTTAAATCTCCTCCTCGAAAAGTTTTCTTAATTTAAGTATTGCAATTACCACAAAGAAACAATGTACGAAAAACTTTGATGCCTAGACCTATCGCTTGCATGTGCGGTTCTCGCTCTCGTTGCCGTCGCCGTCGCCGTCGCCGTCGTCGTGCGTTTTTCCTGCCAACTTTACTTTGTTTCCACTCGGTTCTAAAGAGTATATTCCTAAGCTGACGTTTCGAGCTGACTGGCTCTCCGTCGGAGCGAATTGATTTATGTTTTTGCTCTACATTCTTACGTATATTAATTTCGTGTTGCCTTCACGCCGAGTTGAAAACAGACACGTGCTAAAAAATGCAAGTCAATTCTTATTACACGTTACTAAAAACCCTCTGAATTTTTATGGATATCTCTACGAGCTATAAAGCAACTCCTGTTAAGTTTTACTAACAAAACGCTGAAAATGTTTGAAAGTTGCAGAAACCTTACTGATCATAACGTCTTCTCTATAAAATTATGCAATGGTACCTGAGAATTTCCGGAACAGTTCTTCTTATAGCACGCAGCTGCAAGAAGACAATCCACAGTCAAAAGATTAATTTCAATACAGGATAACTCCTTGGCAAAGGGGCAAGAAAATCTACCTCCAAACCCAAATATAACAGTGTTTTTTTTTAAGTCGATTATTCCAGACATGCCTGAAGAGCAGCTGAAAAGGGTAATCGTTTACCAGAAATTGTCTGCCGAATTTTTCTAACATGTCTAAACCCTGGGTAAATAGCTTTACGAAAGTGTTGACGAGATTGGTGCCTGTACAGAAATACATGCCTTGCATTCGCTGCCAAAAGCATTACCAAAATCTCCTCTCTGGAGGGAAAGCTTTAAAGGGAAACGCGCGTACACGAAGGTCGCGCGAGAGAGGTAGAAGAATAGGAAGTTCCTTCCTCCTTCCTCGCGCGTCAATCGCGTTCGCGTTGAATAAAGTTTGAAAAGTTTTATTTAACAAATTTCATGATATAACTCTTAAGCTTTATGTAGACCAGAACTCACCAGTTTCTTCATCAGTGAGGAATTTTGTATCAAAAAGAAAGGCCTAAGAAGTCTGCGGATCCTGACAGACTGAAAAGAAATCATTACTACTACATTATACACTTGTGTGAACATGACATAACTATGCATGATAGTTTTTGCGGTGATCTAGTACTCATCATCATCGAGACTACTTTTTTGGTCTAAAAGTTAATTTGCTGCGAGTTTATGGTTACGGTAATGAATCTGGAACTGGAGCAATTAAAGAATTATAACCTCTTAGCTCGGTCCACACTACAATTATGTCTGCGTTCGGACGTCCTCTATTTCTGCACGCGAGCTACACTGCAACCACCTCGGGCCAACACTAAGTAGGCTGATTTAGCAACAGAACGAGAACGTCAGTTGGGGACGGCGCGCGCAAAATCAAACAACTGGCTTGACCAATCGCAGAGCGGCAAAATGGGCACCGGAAGTAGCGTTAAGTCCTTTCCGCGCGCTTTCTCGTCGTCAGTTGGCATTCCCGTTCTGTTGCTAAATCAGCCTTAACCAGACAAGGCCTTAAAAAATGTGGTTTATTATAAGTAAGTTTTTTATTATATGTCATCCTAATTTCATTTTGTGGCTCGCGAGTTCCTCCGGTGCCAATACCTGGCACTTTGTGAAGGTGGACAGAGAAACCAATACTTTTTCTTTAAGCTAGTCTTGCCCTTAAGTTCACTTTTTTGAGCGACGTGGTCCCGAAACAGAGCGAAGAACTAAAACTCTACCTGCAAACCTAAGCTGTTTATGAGAAATGGTTGATTGAGGGTCCCCAATAGGTTTTCCGGGATACGGGATTTCCCTAGTTTGAAGCTCGGGATTCGAATTTTTACAGCAAAATCAGGGAGGGATTCGGGATTAAAAGTATGCGCGGGAGGTGGGATGCCAAAAATAGCCCTCGGGATTACGGGATTGCTCGAAATCTTAGGTCGGGATTACGGGATTGAAGAACCCTATTGGGGACTCTCTTGATTCACGTTTGGTAAACAGTTTAAGTTCATTATGAGACAGTTTAAGCTTCACGTTAAGTTAATTATCAGAGAGTTTAAGCTTCACATAAACGGCAAACGTCTGATTCAAGTTGAGAATATCTCAAAATAGAAAATGAGCAAATAAAAAGAGCTCAAAACAATTCTTATGGATCAAAAATTGTGTGAAACTACTAATTTATGTGTAGAAATAATGAACAGTAAACGACAAGTGAAGGGGAAACTTGATCACGTGGTACAAATTGGCGTTTGTCGTTTGACGTAAATGTGATGCTTAACCTGTATGAAAGCAAACTTAGTTACCTCACTGCAACCAGTACTAAGGGACACAAAAACGTCGATAAAAGAAATCGTGAGAACCAAACAATAACATAAAAGCCATCTGCTTTTGATAAATTCCTGCCTTCCAAGAACATGGCTCTGAAAAACGGGTCAATGATNAGCAAAATCAGGGAGGGATTCGGGATTAAAAGTATGCGCGGGAGGTGGGATGCCAAAAATAGCCCTCGGGATTACGGGATTGCTCGAAATCTTAGGTCGGGATTACGGGATTGAAGAACCCTATTGGGGACTCTCTTGATTCACGTTTGGTAAACAGTTTAAGTTCATTATGAGACAGTTTAAGCTTCACGTTAAGTTAATTATCAGAGAGTTTAAGCTTCACATAAACGGCAAACGTCTGATTCAAGTTGAGAATATCTCAAAATAGAAAATGAGCAAATAAAAAGAGCTCAAAACAATTCTTATGGATCAAAAATTGTGTGAAACTACTAATTTATGTGTAGAAATAATGAACAGTAAACGACAAGTGAAGGGGAAACTTGATCACGTGGTACAAATTGGCGTTTGTCGTTTGACGTAAATGTGATGCTTAACCTGTATGAAAGCAAACTTAGTTACCTCACTGCAACCAGTACTAAGGGACACAAAAACGTCGATAAAAGAAATCGTGAGAACCAAACAATAACATAAAAGCCATCTGCTTTTGATAAATTCCTGCCTTCCAAGAACATGGCTCTGAAAAACGGGTCAATGATTGAAATTATAAAAAAGTTCAGATATATTACGCGCTCTAATTGGTTGAAAAAGTGTGCTTTATGGGAGTATGAAACACGGAGCTAAAGTTTTGAAAATTAGAAAGTAATGCACGGGGTACTTAATGGATTCCTTTATCATAAAACAAATAAAAAAAGCCTTGACTGTGCTCTTTTCTCTTGCATCTTGTGTTTCCCCCTATACTTCTTTCGTGCTCTAGCCGCGTCCTGCGTGCTTTACAACAGAACAGAGCACAGTCAAGGCGTCCTTATTTGTTAAATAACCAACTGTCAACAAACTAAGCAGTGTCAGTTTATTTTCTTAATACAATAAAAATACTGCTTTTTTTTACTAAGCTAGAAAACAAAAATCAACATCTTGATTAAAATTCACGCCTCTGTTACTCTCTCACCCACGCCCAAAAAGCTCAAAGCTTTCATACATTAAGAAGTTGGTCTTTTAAAGCCCTAGTAGTATACACAAAACCTATCGTTTTATACCCTGCTCTTCCACATTTTTTTGGGCAAAATCAACCTAAGAGTGTGGGAATGTTTAAAATGCCTTAAATTGGGTCAGCTCTAGACAAGATTTCTTTGATTTGTTTTATGGAAATTACAACAATGCAGCACATTTCAAAGAAGGTACAAGTTGTGAGTGAGTGTTACCTTGACAACTAAATCACAAACAAAACAAATGAGGAAGAAGAGTTCCAGGCTCTCTGTGACTCCACAAGGAGGGTCAGGTCTTTTATCACGGAAACGAGGATCAGAGGATGACCTTCAAAGCAATATTGATAACAACAGGGCCAGCCATCACTAGTTGAGGCAGTACAAAATAATTCTGGGTATGAAATTATTAGGCTACTTAAATATTTTGAAGGAAATTCTTAAGCTGTACAGTCATAGCTTACTCATGGAAACTGATTATTTGACACTTTTTGCCTCCAGTGCTGAAAATGGGAGAAAAGGAAATATATCTGGAGTGGATGCTATGGCAACTTTTTCTCCATGAAAGGGCCATGATCTTGCAAAGGCTTAAATATACACCTTGGGTGTGCAGCGTTGGTACTCATATGTTTGGAGCTACTTGGATAACCAAAGTGAAACACTCCCTTATATGGCCTAAAGAGGTNCTAGTAGTATACACAAAACCTATCGTTTTATACCCTGCTCTTCCACATTTTTTTGGGCAAAATCAACCTAAGAGTGTGGGAATGTTTAAAATGCCTTAAATTGGGTCAGCTCTAGACAAGATTTCTTTGATTTGTTTTATGGAAATTACAACAATGCAGCACATTTCAAAGAAGGTACAAGTTGTGAGTGAGTGTTACCTTGACAACTAAATCACAAACAAAACAAATGAGGAAGAAGAGTTCCAGGCTCTCTGTGACTCCACAAGGAGGGTCAGGTCTTTTATCACGGAAACGAGGATCAGAGGATGACCTTCAAAGCAATATTGATAACAACAGGGCCAGCCATCACTAGTTGAGGCAGTACAAAATAATTCTGGGTATGAAATTATTAGGCTACTTAAATATTTTGAAGGAAATTCTTAAGCTGTACAGTCATAGCTTACTCATGGAAACTGATTATTTGACACTTTTTGCCTCCAGTGCTGAAAATGGGAGAAAAGGAAATATATCTGGAGTGGATGCTATGGCAACTTTTTCTCCATGAAAGGGCCATGATCTTGCAAAGGCTTAAATATACACCTTGGGTGTGCAGCGTTGGTACTCATATGTTTGGAGCTACTTGGATAACCCAAGTGAAACACTCCCTTATATGGCCTAAAGAGGTAGTGCCGCTGAACAGGGTATAGTTTTGGGGGTTTTGAGTCTCAAACAGGGTTAACTTGTAATTTCACTTTTTGGCATCTTTGAGTGGAAGCATAAGCAGGTGTGAACATTGGCAGTGGACCAGGATACTAACAATAGGGCCATTTATACGAGGACAAATAAGACGCGAACTGTACCATTTATACGAGCATGTCTTATCTAATAAGACGCGTCTTAGCTAAGCCGCGTCTTTTTTTAGACAAAATGTGCCGTTTATAAGTAAAGTTCGCGTCTTATTTAAGACGCGTCTTATGTAAGACGCGTCTTATTTTTCCTCGTATAAATAGCCCTAATGATACTAAAAATTTTTTTCGAAAACAAGTTAAACTAATAAGATGTGATGTCAGTGGTAAAAATCACATAATTCTGTACCTGTATGGGTTGTGAAAAATGGTCCCTTGTCTTGAGCAGGGTAGTGAAATGAATGATTTTTAAACAGAGTGTTGAAGGTAGTACACACCCAAACTTCTCTTAAGTGCCAACACATCCACCCTGGGATGCCATAAACTTTGAACTTTAATTTTATCAGAATAGTCAAACAGTTTCAAAGTTTTTATTTTTCAATTTGATATTAATTCTTATATTAAAAAGTTCAACCTTTGCCACCTGACACCTCGCGTAGGTACACAGCTCCCATAAGTGGACACAGTCACGGTCCAAGCAGCTTTCAAACACTCCATTTTTAACCTACCTTTGGTGTGGTGTTAAAGGGATGGCCAATTTTGTACCACTCAATTGTCCACATACAGCATATTTGACTGTAATTTCATGTAGTTGGCATTTAAAGCATACCAATAATCCATAGTTTAAGGACAGATAATTTTTTTTATGGAAAGTAAATTGAACCCAGTTTACAATTCTACAAATTAACATCATCATTTTCAGGTACTTTAATTTTATAATACTTTTTTAGGTACTCACGTAAAAGAAGAAGGCTTTTCGACAAACGCCAACATAAGATTCAGAAATATGATAAGGGAGAATCCCCTAAAGAAAAGGAAAAAGAAAAGTAATCATTTTTACATAAATGGTACCATCCAAGTCGTGCCATGTTTTCTTCTTGTATCGTACTCTGAAACTCTTGTGTAAAACTTTGCAACACATGCAGAAGCAATGAACCCAAAAAATGTTTCTGGAACTGGTTGACAGGAGCCCATACGCATGCAGGGGCAATGCCATTATTGCGGCAAACGTTGCCTGAGATTATTTCAGCCGTCAATTCATATTTCCAAGAAGGTACTCCTCAGTAGTGGCTAAGAATAGGATTGTTGAGGTAATATATCAAGCATGAGAAGCAGTGTTTCATCACCAGATGCATGAAATACTGAGAAGAGAGTTGAAAATACGATGCGCAGCGGAGTATTTTCGACAAACTTCAAGGTGTTTCATCTGGTGATGAAACACCGTGTTGAATGCTTGATATTACATCTCAAACAAAATGATTTTAGAAGGAGAAGTAAAGGATGCAAAAATGAGCAGTTTTACATCTGATTTCCAAACATTCATTAAACATTAATTTCCTTTGTGAATTATTGATGAGTCTGAGAAGTTGTGAGTCCAAACTTGGTCCAGAGCACCAGTCAGTAAAATAAAGCTGGCTGTGTATGGCGATCTTTACCTCAGTTGAAATTGTTGCAACCTTGGGGTGTTAAATTTATTGGCCTTGACGCCTACATCTACTCGCATAATTTTCAAGGCAACTTATACCCACCTAGCCATTATTTAAAAAGAGTAGCCACCAGAAAAAGTGGTACAACCTTTCTGACTAGACTGGGGTGGGTTGTATCACAGATAAATGTTAGATTTTCTAGACAAAGGGCCAAGACTCTATGATCATAACACTGCCATATTTAATCATCATCATTAATAAATATGGGTTTGAATCCCGTCTTAGGTCCAGAAATTTTTTTCAGTTAATTTGCAATTGTTTAAATTGCAATTACACTGCAACGATCATATCTTCCTTAAATTTGTATTTCTGCAGTTCACATTTCCCTCATTCTATATGTATCATTATTGTTAGATTATCTGTATATGATGGACTTACCATCGAACAGGTTTGCTGTAGTACAATCTGTACATCCACAGAGACTTACTGTCCATTTTGTGGTGGATTGATCTATACTGCAAACCAAAACATAAGTTGCCACCAGTGATTTAAGTCATTGCACAAGAAGCAAGTGATAGTGGAGGAAAAAAAGGGAGGAAGGAGCCCAGAAGAATAAGGGAAGGGAGCCAGATAAGGGAGTTGGGAGAGAAAGGCTGGGAGGTGGGAGTTCTAAAATGGCAGGAAGCAGGAGAAATTACTCAGCAATGCTTAATTTTTCTGGGATCAAAAAAGGAGTAAAGGGAGGAAGCCACAAAAAAGGGCGGAGGCCGCGAAAGCAAAGCATGGGAGGTGGGAGATTTGGACACCCTGCCTTNTTGTGGTGGATTGATCTATACTGCAAACCAAAACATAAGTTGCCACCAGTGATTTAAGTCATTGCATAAGAAGCAAGTGATAGTGGAGGAAAAAAAGGGAGGAAGGAGCCCAGAAGAATAAGGGAAGGGAGCCAGATAAGGGAGTTGGGAGAGAAAGGCTGGGAGGTGGGAGTTCTAAAATGGCAGGAAGCAGGAGAAATTACTTGGCAATACTTAATTTTTCTGGGATCAAAAAAGGAGTAAAGGGAGGAAGCCACATCAGCCTGAAATACACTGGATTAATTGACACAAATAAGATTTAATTTATAAAGTAACCTTTAATGCTAGATACTGAGTCAATTGAATCATAATCCTTAGTTAAGGAAATTGCTACCGAAATCTCAATTTTTATAAACTGTTTAACACAATTTTTCAGTTTTGTTAGAAATTAATGCCTCCTTAGCTCTACATAGCCGCAAGTGCACAGTAACAATAGGCACTAATATCTAACCAAAACAACTTCAGGGTTCAAAGATATATTGTATTTCTAACACTGTTCTGGAATCAGTAAACAAAGACATATTTATAGTGGAGGTAAAATTGGTTACCTTAGCAGCATCTTCAAGAAAAACAGCTGCTTGGTTGATTGCATGTTCTATCGGCGATGTATCTGATACAACACATATCAACAAATGAGTCCATATCACATTTTGACAGCCTCCATTATCAGTGCTCAGATGCTTATATCATTATAATTCTTAGAAAAGACTACCGTAAAATTCCAAAAATAAGCCCCTCCTTGTGTAAGCCTCTCCAAATGTAAGCCCCACAAACTTGTAACGCAAAAAACCCTCCTTTACGTCGCCCCTCCGAATATAAGCCCCCTGGGGGGCTTGTCCTTGGAAATTGCCCTCAAATACAAAGTAAAACAAAGCAAAAACAGTAAATTTCCTTCCGACTATAAGGCTAGCCCAATCGATTTTGAAACGCAAATTTCCCTACGTAGATAAGCCCCTCTGAATATAAGCCCCTCCAAAAATAAGCCCCTCCAAGAGGGCCTTTGAAAAATATAAGCCCCGGGGCTTATTTTCAGAATTTTACGGTATTCTAAACATTTCCTGAAAAATCTACAAAACTGGTATCACATTCCACCCCTTCCAGCCACCACTCAATGGCCAGTTACCTCAGTTTCCAAGGTAGCAGTTGTGGAGAGGTTCGAATTGACCTTAGTATCCATAGCTAAAGTATTGGACAACAACCATGATTTTTCAGTAGACACAGGTAGTGTAATCACCAAAGTGTGACATTTTGTGTAAACAACTGGGATTTAAAACTAAGGGTGCTTTCCATTCAACAAAAATTCCAGTTTGAAATTTTGGGAATTCCATGTGCCCAATGGAATGTACATTTCCAGTTGCACAGACCCAGCCCAAGCCTCTACGTATTTCATTATTTTACTTGTAAGCAATACACAAAAGAGCTGTATACTAGGAACAATAAGGCATAGATCAAACATCAAATTTTTCAAGAGACGAACCAAACTCTAATTTGGGTTGACCTAAATTAAGTTAAGATCATCTGTTGGTCAGACATCGAACTTAGGATGTGTCAAACCAATCATATCACTAAGAAATTGTCTTCCGAACGAGGCTAAATATACATTATCATACAAATCTTTAATCCATTAGTTTAGTTCATCGCATGTGAAGATCGATGTTTGTCCCAGAGATGATCTTTAGATGTTCTCTCCATCTGAAGCAGATGGACAGAACGTGTTGGGCAATCCAAACTCCTTCAAATGAACTTGACTGAGCCAGTCACACGACAAACTTTTCATTAACTTGACTCACTAACTTTGGTTTGTCTCATGAAAAGTTCGACGTTTAGCCTAGGCCTAATTATGTCATATCGAAAACGACACTTCGGTCTGAACGGTAAGACCGGTCACGTAGACCTCCTTTGGTCCCAAATTTTAATATTCCAGTTTGACCGAACCATTTGATTTCCGGCCAAAATTTTGCAATTTTGGGCTGAACGGAACGCGCCCAAAACTCAAAGATCACTCTCGACGTTCGACATTCTCTAGCACAGCCAATCCTCCAGGTTGCCAGTATCTGCCTATCAGCGGACGTATGTCTGAATCAGCTGTTCACGGTAAATCGATTTTCTATCAAAACTCTTTTCGAGCCAAGTCAAACTGAGTTATTAATCTGCACTCTAAATTGCCTGTCATTATTATAAAGTAAATTGCCAGATGGAAACTGGCAAGCTGTACTGTAACGGACACGTCCAAGTAAGTTGCACAAATATAATATTATTCAACGAAGGTTCCAGTTTGTCCCAGCTGGTTTAATGACTTCGAATTTCAGTTTCCAATCAATTTCAATGACGTATCTCCGCAACAGTGCCGGACAAACTGTCCTAATATTTGTGATACGATACGTATTCAAAATGTGTAATGTCCTTACCGTCACTTTCCACGATTGGGCTCTGAACTTCCATGGGTTCCATTTAGTTCGTAAGGGGAAAGACTCCCTAAAAAGCTAAAAGCAACAACATCCTCATACTCACGAGACAGGTCGCTGACCATTCGCGGTTCCAGGCCGTTCCACTCATTTCCATTCCCCCGACCGAGCCCGGTATCTGAACGGTTGTTGAATAGTAGCACAGTTCCAAATAGTGGATTTTGATTCGTTAACTGATTTTCATTTTATCAGTGTTCAAAATTGATGAAACTTTGATCGTAAACTGGAATGCAAACACGGCAAATACAAAACAGTTTTCTGTGTCCGAAACGCCGGTTACCGGGAATTTCGAGAAACGGGCGGCCTGCAGGCCCGCGGCGAAGTGGGGGAAAAAGGCAAAAACAAACAAACAAAAACAACAACAACAACAGCAACAAAAACGGGACGAAACAGCGAAAATCCGCGTGCAAAGCGAGCAGAGAGATGGACTGGCTGGCTTCACTCGCCGATTGTGTTTTTTTCTTCGCCCTTACCCAATTTTTTTTCGCCTAATTTTTCCCCGCAATGCCGAGCTTGTCCAAGGCTACCTCGACCTAGCCTTGTGCGGTGCTGTGCGGTGTTGACTCCCAGATAGTCGGGTACACAGGAAACAAAATGTGACACCCACGGGCATTTTTGTCGGATTTTTGGAAACATAGCTATTCTTATTAACTTGCTTCATTCTCGCGTTAAGAGGGCATTTGTTGTGCATTTCATTATATAAGGATGTCAAGTAAGGAGTTTTTTCCTTTAATAATTTTAAGTTTAATATATCCAAAAATGCTTTCAGTTTGTGATAAGTGTACTGTAAAGATGGTTAAGAACATTTCTGACAGTTTTTGTACTTTTTCTACAAATATCGAGCCGCCGCGAGACAATTGACCACGCCTTTTTGATATTAAATTCCTATTTTTGTTGAGAGGGCTTTGGTTTAACTACCTTATTATTTATTTATTTATTTCGAAAAAAGAAAACAAAAACAAACAAACAAACAAAAAAAACCAAATGTAATTCTTTCAAGGAAAAAAACAGATTCTGCAAGCAGCCCCGTTGAAGGTTTGCCGTTGCAAACCGAAATATCAATTCATCACTTTGTTTTTGTTTCCTCTCTATATTTTTTCCATCACTCCTCCTGCCCTAAGGATCAGTTTGGTACTCAAGATTTTACTGATCCAGGTCTACTAAAGATCCGGATGACCCTCACTGGTTTGATGTCGTGGTTTTGCCATCACAAGTGTTTCTGCGAGGTAAAAAATGCAGCCATATTGAAGCACGAGCTTATGCCCAGTACCACTTTCTTCCACAAAAATCGTAAACTAGGTCAAACTATACCTTGCGAATGGGAAACAAGACTCTTTTTAGCAAACTTTCTGACGGAGTCAATCACACTTCAAGGATGGTGCTACTTTGTTCAACGATGGCTTTGAAACTGCGGGAAAAACAAATTCGGAGGCTTTACGGGATGCTACGTGGACTTTGGGTTACGTAAAGGATCTGGATCATTATTGGAGGCACTCGAATCAAATTCCACACGTAGCGTATTCGAATCGCTATAGCCCTGAAAATTACGATGGAGATACGACTGCATGCCTTTGTGGGCATGCTGTCAGTATGATGTATGACATCACCATATCTGTAAACCTCCGTTCTCGTCCGTCCACACTGCACATGACTTCTCTTTTCACTTTCTTTTTTGAACTTTTGTCATGCGCCGTGAGAATTCACTCTTGAGCACCAAAAACCTGTAAAAAAATCGCAAATCGAACGCGGTTGAATTATAGTGGTGAGATTTGAATTGAGGAACCACACTGTAATTTTCAGGGAGTTATAATAACTCCTCTAGTGGGGCTAAATTATCTCCTTACAGTGGAGTTATTTTTCGTGGAGTTATTTTAACTCCAAAAAGGAGTTTAAAGAACTCTTTTTCAGGAGTAAAAGTGACCCCAGATATTGAGGAGTTAAAATAACCCCAAAAAAGGAGTTATCCTGTACCTAAAATTTTTACTCCACTTTCAGAGTTAAATTAACTCCAAAAAGAGTAAAAACAACCCATGTAAGGAGTACAAGTAACCCCATTTCGGAGTAATTTTAACTCCAGACTGGGAGTAAAAAGAACTCTTTTTCAGGAGTAAAAATGACCCCAAATTCGGAGTTAAATTAGGAGTTAAAATAACCCCAAAAAGGGGTTATCCTGTACCTAAAATTTTTACTCCATTTTTGGAGTTATAATAACTCCCTAAAAATTACGGTACACACCTGGCCTTTTCAGAGACGTTTTTAATGCCGTCAGCCTCGTAGTTGCTTAACTGCTCCCTGTTTCCTAAGAAATCGGGGTGCGGGGCTTAAAACGGGTCCTTAAAACAAGGATTTTACACTTTACAGGACGGAGGCAGCGATCATGAAGCGACAAGTATGAACAGCTTCCTTTTATTTTTTGTCAAAAACTTGTTACCTTTGCCAAAGTAAATAAAAGTAACTCTATAAGAATCTATCATATTAAAATATGATAAATGTCTCTCGTGTCGTCTATACCAACACTAAATACTAAATATATACAGCACAATACAATAAAGTAGATTATCTAGTCAAAAATGACATATTCCACAGATTTCGCAGAGAAAATTAGAACAAGGATAGTGTTATAAGAAGAATCTCATTTTGGTAAAATACCTATCTCATATACGAAATTCTTTTAGACCACCCGGCACTAAAAAGGCGAGGTTGCTGGATAAGTAAATGCTTACAAAAACGAGTCGAGGCATAATAATCTTGTTCTAGCATCTAAGAAGTAGGAACTAGCAAAGAGATCTTATTCTATGATCACCATCCATTACTGAAAATATTTATGCATGGTAGTGTTGGAAAAGTACCTTGTTAGCAGAGGTTTCTCTATTGCATGGCTTTTAACGTTAATGCGAAGTCGTTCGCGAGGCTTGTCTGTTGCGTAGTTGGTTTGTTAGACAAGCCACGCGAATGACTTCTTAAAAGCTAAAAGCCATGCAAAAGAGAAACCTCTACTCGTACTCACTGGATATGGAAAAGTTGATTACATACAGAATGTTGCCATTATTTTTAATCATATTAGCCAGTAATTAAATTGTCCTTTGAATTTAAAAGTATTGCTAAAAATACATAAATGTTTTTGTAGTTTTAATTGTATTTTACTTTTTCATTCCTGTTTCCGCACAGGATAAACGTTCATTTTTCTTCTTTTGGTTGCTATTTCTGTTTCAAAAATTCTCATATGCGATATGCTACCAGAATTAAGGCGAAACTTTAAATCCTGACGATCGATAATCTCTTGTACAAATTAGTTTCCATTTGCCCGAAGAAAATTAAAATATTTACATATTTGCAGCTATCAAAAGCTATTATTATATAACTTGATCAGACACATTAATTATTTCTTCAAAACATTTGTTCTCTCCGTCTCTCTCTCTCTCTCTAGCACGGTGTTTTTCGCTGTTTTATAGAATGTTCAATAGGTAAACGGTCGACTTCCTTTGACCAAGAAAAAAGAGTTTCACCTCCCAGAACCATATAGGTTAAGCAAACTTGTTCCACTATTAAACGAAGGCAAATCCGATTATGATCTCTTGATCATGGGTATTTCCGCCGATATAGGTATTACCTCATGGATGTTTAAGCGCAAAATAACTACTGTGCCTACCATAACAGGCTAAATACTGCCTGGGTTACCAGTAATTGCGTGAACAGTCATTTTGGGCTTTTAATTTAGCCCAACCCCACTCAAGCCAGAGGTGCATGTTTAACTGATGTATATCCCCTAACCCAACCAACCCGCGCTGTTCCTTTCAAGATCTAAACTGAAGTGGTTTCGCTACTGAGCTACCACCTGGCTACTACTTGAGATGTTTCTGAGCTTATTCCGGACTGAGCATAAAAAGCCCGTCTTCGTCCTGTTTTGTAGACCAGCGTGCAAATGTTCTAAAACCGTTGTACTTTGCATCACCAGTTTTTGCATACGGCTTAGAGGTTATTGTTTTCCCTCATTCTGTCCAATCTAGCAGTATTGGTCTGTCTGTAAATTGCTTTCTTTTTCATGAGGCTGTATAAAGGAAGAGAACAAAACTATTTCAATAATGAGAGTAACCCAGGTTTGTTACTACGATCATTACGAATGATATTAAGAAATATATATACCACTGACTTCAGGTTTAGAATTATTTAAAGTAATTAAAAAAATTAAACACTCATATTTGAATTCCGATATTCAGCTAAAGGCTAAGCCTACAATCAAATCTCTCTATGACAGACACCTTGGTGACCGGCACAAAAGCGTCCGTCTTACAGAGAGGTGTCGGTTTTACAGAGGTGTTCGTCTTATAGAGAGTCAAATAAAGGGAGTAAAGATAGGCAGGGACCAACTCTAGGTGTCCGTTTTACAGAGGTGTCCATCTTATAGAGAGTCAAATAAAGGGAGTAAAGAAAGCCAGAGACCAACTCTAGGTGTCCGTTAAGGGAGAGTCAACTGTAAATGATTTTAGGGGAGTAGAGAGTGGTTGTTATTTTAAATCATTTTTGCTTATTGGCCAAATTTCAGTCTGTGGGTTCTAAATTCACTGTTTCTTAAATGTACAAATTTTTATATGCTTGCGGCATGCTTAGTTCCTGCCAGCATTAAGTCGATTGTCTCTAGTCTTCATGAAGCTCCAGGATAATCTTGCGAAAGAATTTTCTGTGATTTATACAGATTTTCGTTCAGTGGGGAACTCCCATATAAAAAGCACGGAAATACTCGTTGTCTCGCTTAGGGGTGTAAATTGCAAAGTTTGGTCACACTTAGGACTTGGTCTAGGACGGAAAGTCACTATATTTGCCCATTCAGGTATCGCTCAGAGCTCCTAGTGCATAAAGAATTTTGTAAAAATGCCGTGATGTCTATTTTAGAATGGTCTTCTTTAGGGGTCAGTTTAAGCTTGAGCCACACCCACATTGGCCTCCTTTAGGGGTTTAATTTAAATTTTTTGACGTGCATCCCCGTCCCTTTATATAGGAGCCGTCCCCGGATTTTCGTTTCATTCTAACCGAACATTAGCGTACAATGGCGTTAAAACTCCCCAGTTAACTAACCATTTCAGACAAGTCCCTGTTTGTGTTCCGGTGCTTTTCATCTCGTTTGTTTTTCGTCTTTCGTTTTCCAAAGAAACCTTCCGTAGTCTATTCAGTTCCGTCAGCAATGCTCTATATACAATGCAACCGAATAGGAATAGAAAGAATCATATATGAATAACATTGTTACCTGAACACAGTTTGAACAAAAACATATATGATTGCAAAGTGAAGGATGGAAATTGTCCAAAATTATCAGGAAAAACAAGAACAACACAAGGGAAAAATGCGTCCTAACTTGTCCTGAAAGTATCTTTCTAAACTTCTCGCCAGCGGCACGGAAACTATCAAAGATGACGAAACTTTAGAACTGTTAATGATAAAAAGTTCGATTAGACAAATTTTGCTCTCATTATAGAAGAACCGTATAGCTCTGCATTATCAAAGCACATGATATATAGTATTCGGTTCTATTCGCTGAACGCGTCTCAAAACATAAACTGCAGATAAATTCATCTTACAGGTGAATCATTACTTTCGTGAACCACTTGCAAACGTAAAAGTTTTTTTTGTGTGTGTGGGCCATACAACAGATCAATTAATGACTGGTTCCTCTGGATACCAGTTAATTTTGTTTTCCTCGGTTCGACCCTTGGAAACAAAACTTTTTCCCTCAAGACACGGTAGTTGAATATTGTTTCACGCTAACCTTACGGTTGTTTCCAAAGAATCTACTTTTTGCTGAAGAATACTGTTCTCCGTGTTACAAGATTCAACTCTGAAGTAAAAAGAAAATTCTAGTCAGTCAGTCAGTCAGGATATTTACAGCACCTAAAAGGAATGCAAAAATCTAAACTAGGTATTTGAAAGGGTGCCTTTTTATGAATAGAGGGTATACGAAAGGGGTACCTTTCCTGTCAAAAATGGCAACTATATAAAAGGGTAAAACCTTTGGTGGGGGGGTGGGGGGGGGAGCCTGTAGAGTACCCTCCCCCTCCCCCGGGGGACAGAATGCAAATTTTCCCTTTTTATACCTGACTTGACTACCAACCTTTTCTCCAGACCTTCGACATACTCTTTCTTCTTTCTCCGACTTTCTTGGGCAGAAAGCTAAAAGAATAAACAAATTCACATCACACAGTAATTTAAGTTATTTTTGTATGCACCTTGGCAGGATCATTTGATAATTTTCAAGTAGTTGATACATTATATCAGAGAGCTTAAGCTATACATCCATTTCTGCTGCTGGACTTTGAAAAATCTTCGGATCTTGCCTACCTTGTTCTTAATTTTTCTTCGTATTCTCTTAAGGGCTCTTTCCTCTGCCTAGAATGTAAACAGCGGAAGATGAATGAGAAATTACTGACTTGAAATACAACAGTGGCAAAGGCTATTCTGAGAAAGTCATTTTTACGGTGAAACCCTCGCCAATAAGTGCATGATGGCTGGGATTGCCCCGTTCTCCTCAAAGACAGTCAAAGTAAAATAACTGAACGTCGACCATAAGGGTATTTAGCAAATTTTTGGGGAAACCGTGAATATGCTGATTGGACAATCAAATATAGTTTGCACCATTCCGTTTGGCTATGGGAAGCCTCAACAATTTTTCTTTCTCTTTTTGTTTCTCCAGTTGTGTTGAATATACGCATTTTTTTCCATAGCCTGCGAGCAAGCTCTTCTATTTGGGCAAGCGAAGCGAGCCTCGCGAGAACGCGCGAGCGAGGGGCCGAGGCTTCTTTCCTCTTCCCCTCGCGGCTTCGCCGCTCTCTCGCACGTTCTCGCGAGGCCTGTTTCACTCGCCCAAACAGGAGAGCTTGCTCGCAGGCTATTTTTTCCATTACAAAATTCATTTTCAATTTTCAAACTTTTACGCGCGTGATTTTCAACCGGATAATTTAAAGCTTGCTAACGCAGACGATTTCTTTTTTTGGTCGTAGATAAGGATCCGAAGCGTAATCGAGAACCAAGTCAGCTTTTGCCCGCCATGTATCTTATGGCAGAAAGTTGACCGCATATATAATCTTGTTTTAATCAGTTTCTATTTCTGATTAGTTTTGCAAAAGCCTTTTTAGCGCTATTCTTTGTCAGCAACTGAATTAGAACCAAAGCATCAATGTTCACACCGATTGTTTATAGATACAGTAGCCTGAGTTATACCGACCTTTGTTAGCGGTGCTCTATTGGGCAAAGGCAAGCCCTCAGATGCAAACGTCTCTTTCTCCTCTTCTGTCAAGTCTACTCTCCCGTTACTAGTCGTGAAAATATCGCCACTTTTGTCCTGTGGTAATAGATTGACAATCGATGACAGATGGTAATGTAAGAGAGGGGATACACCGTCCATAGTAGACTTTGGAATAGTAAATTAAATATCAGAATACAGTCGACTCGTGCTCTCTCTTAATGGACACCCCTATAAGACGGACACTTCTGTAAAACGGACACCTAAAGTTGGCCCTTGCGTTTCTCTAATCCCTTTATTCGACTCTCTGTAAGACAGACATCTCTGTAAGACGGGCGCTTTTGCATCTGTCTCATGAAAGCGGTGTCCGTCTGTAAATTGAAGATATTCTCAGGGACGGACATCTGTTAGTCCGAGACCTCCAAAAAGGTCGGTGGGCTTATCCTTTATTGGTAACCGCTAATATTTTCTTTCTATTTTCGATATTGAACAAATTTTCGTGTTCTAAACTTTTTCAAGGTTGCGGATCCCCTGCTTACTACAGTCAAGTCAACTCCATTTATAGCGGACAATCTTGGGACATCCAGTAAGTATGTCGTTAACAGTCCGTAATAGCGGGAGCATGTTTCAGTCAAACGTCTTAATTCATTTTGTCGAAGATCTTCAATCGGCGACAAAATTAAAATTAGTTGACACACTTCGCCCTAAAGGGCCTCTCTAACGTTTTGCTAACTTAAAAAAAGGAAAATAAGGCTCTCCCTTCCCACCCCCCTCCATGCAATTTTGTGCACCACTGTTCGAGTTACAGTGTGGGAAGCAGTAAACATCCTAGAGGGCGGGGGGGGGATTGTTTTGGTCTACAAAGTAACCCCATTTGAGTCCTGGTAACAGTGAGAAAGGTGTCTACAACGGTGGAAATTGATGTTTGTAACAACGCACAACCAAAAGCATTGAACAAAATGATTTTAGTCTTCAACAGTAAAACATATTTGGGCGTCTAAGTCGACATCATACAAGCAAGACCTTAGGGTTAGAAAATCATCAAAAAAAGAGGTATATATATACCTTAAGGCATGTCCGCCGCTCTTCATCACCAAGCGCATGCGAATAACTCTGCTCTCCGCCGACGTCAATATCACTTACATCTGTTCCGTCACGATCTTCAAAGACGTCATCGTCCTGATAAGTTGTGGAGCTGGAATTTTTCTGTGTAAAAAAATCGAAGAAAATCAAAACGAGTTTTGAGCTGAAAAATTATTGGGAAAAAAATGATATATCGGATTTTTAATTTATTTTTTTAAAAAAAAACATTAATTTCGTCTTGAATAGAAAAAAAATCTTTATCATCGTTATTTTAAATTCATTTGCAAGGCGCTGTGGAGTCTGTGTTCGCGCATCGCATGCTCTTGGCCTTCTAGAAAATTTTTCAGTTGCCGCTAACCTTCTGTCTTTCGTTTTTTTTCAGTTTCAACTCTGAGTTGTTGCAAGTTAACTAAGAACTGAACCGGGAGATGCTACGTTCAGAGCGGCCCTGCTGAAGTGATTTCCTGTGGAGTCTCACTAAGACTCGCTTTGATGTCGAGAACGTAGCAAGCATACTTGTTGCCACGTGGGAAGAGTTTCTAGGGAAAATTTAGAAAATTCAATTTACAAAGAATTAAAGGCTAAAAATACCAACAGAATCAGTAGCCTAAACGCACCTTGTCCAACATTGAGGAGATCTTGTAAAGAAGATTTATATCGCTAGTTCGGTCTTTTGGCGACGATTTTTCGCAGAATATTTGAGAGGCCTTTGATGAATTTGCATTCTGTATAAAAACAATATACACGAAACGTTTCACTAATCATTAAAATGGTCAATGCCATTGTACCAAACTCGATCAATATAATGTCAAAGAAACGGTGCATCGCCCCCCGAACTATTTGCACAAAAACACTGTTGAGCAAGAGGCCAAGGTTAAAACACAAAATGAAAAAAAAAATAACAATAGCCAAGAAAAGAAAGAAAACTTACGAAAACTGGTAATACTTTGTAAGTTGATAATTAGAGACACGGGTATAAATCGTCCGTTTTTGCAAAATAACCAGGAAAAAAATTAATCTTGTTGTCAACGATGACGACCACCCATTTTTTCCTAGTCACGGCACGGTCTTAACAATAAAAATTTCTGAAACAAGACTAACTGCTCACCAAATATCCACTTTCTACAGTGAATTGATTCAAACTATTTTTAATTGGAACAGTGGCAAACTTAGTTTGTGTAACCATCAATCAATCCAACTGATGACGTGATCTTCCTGTTCCGTATAGAAACTACTTCTTGGCGGTTCGAGAAGCTATAATCATTAACAACAAGCTAGAGATTCGATATGATTCTGTATTAGTTGTAGCTCTAAACCTAAATAAATTATCGTTAAACGCCGACTGTTCCGACTTCTGCACGAAATGCTCATTATTCGACCGCAACTTGATACTCTTAAAGTTTCGAAACATGCTCGCACAATTACGTCTGCTTTGCGCGAACCAAAAAAGCCTCGCCACGTGTAGAAGTTCCAGTCTATTCTTAGGAAAAATTTGGCCACAGTGAAATATCATTTTATTAACAAAATAAATTACAAGATATTGGGCAACTTTTCTTTTTGATACTCGAGGTGTTAAAATTGATTTGATTTTTTTCTTTGTCCGATGGGTTTGAATGTTTTGAATATATATACCGCTGCTCACCTAAATATTTTTGTCCAGTGCTTCGAACCCCTATTTTTCACGTAACAATTAATGCTATCGCTCACCTTAAAGAAATTAGCTCCGGTTATTTCTTCGTATGCCTGGTTGAACGCTTCCATCGCATGAAGCCTTCCGTCTGAAAAGATACTGCAAAATTACATACATGATGTATTATGTAATTTCACATGCGCCAGAATGAAAAAAAAAAAAAAAACACAAGAGTGAGTGACAAGAAAGTGTTAATGACATTCATAGAAAATATCGGAACCTATTAAGGAAACTGACTATGTATTCAAAAACAATGTGTTATTTACAGAATGTCCTCTAAGTATTTACGAGGCTAAAAGACGCAGTTTTGAAAGAAGTGTATTCTACGGCTAATTGTTTTCTATCGTATATACGTCCAAATCATGTGATGCACTATTTATCTATTCAATATCGACATACACGTGGATTAAAAGAGTTAGTATCTCAGTAAAATCAAACGTGGCTGTTTTGCATGTAAGATGAACATATCTTGTTTCGGCTCAGTTACGTTTCGTTGTGTTTTTAACACGCTTTAGTTTAGACCCCATTAGTATCGATATCGCGAACGCAGCATGCCAATCTTATTTGTTCTGTACCCTTTGTCATTTGTTCACAGCCATTCCCTGACACAGTTACTAAAGAACCTTGCAACGCCAAGGACATGCAACAGGGGCACCCAACGACAATATAGTTCAAAACCACTTATATAAACATAGCATTGTTAAACGTATTTTAGTATTTAATCGGTAGATATAGGCATATTTTTATCCCCTAAAAATTTTTCATCTGTTCGGATTTTCTAACTGAAAGTCTAGTGATCCGAAAATTATAGGAATCAAAACTTACCTTAGCTTGTCGAAAATTTCAGCCAGAAAAAGGGCTTCCGAAAATTCTAGGTGACCTTTTTTGAGTTAAAAGTCCGTTAAAAATAGGCAATTATCCTATTTTTAGATGTTCGAAAATCCTAGGAGAGGCAGGCAAGCAAGATATTTTACAACAAATGCTCCGAAAATTCTAGATCTCAAATCGTCTTCCGAACAGATATTTTCCAAAAATTGACGTTGGGTGATAATGCAATTACTGATTGTTGATGCAATTACTATACTCGGACTCAAACAAACAACTGCCACTGGCCGTTAACATTCAGTACTACTGAAGTCGCATTTCGGGGTAATCCGGCTATGTGGTCTAGTGAAATCAAAGGAAATTAAGTTTACAAGACTTACTCATCAGAACTGAATATAGAATTTGTCATTTTGACCAGTAGGCGTATGTCCCGCCAACTCTATATATATAATCTGAAATTTCTTGTCAGTTTTATCTCAGCAGTTTAAGTTTCCAAATTTTCCGTCAAAGATTTGTTCAAGAGGAGATAAAGAAGAGACCTGTTCTTCGTAGGCCAGTCGTATTTTCAAGTTCGCGCAAAACTGAGCAGTACATTGAACTGGCCTGCGAAACCTTTGAATTCCAGTGGATATAAATACACTGGCTTCTCTCTTTCCTATTTTCAAGATCAACAAGTGAAAAGATGAATGCCGCAAGGATCTGCTAAGCCACTGATGCGCGCACGATCTCCTGTCATGTCTACAGCTGTGTCTAATGTTGCGAACAACCTTTTTTCAATGTTCTCTTCCGTCGCTAGTTTTATTTTCCTAAATTTAGCCGAGCGCCCTGGTTAAAATCGCCAAGAATAAACTTTGCAGTGCTCTAGTTAACTACATCAAACCACCAATACAAAGAAATTCTTAACAGTCGGTGCTTCTGAAATACTGCACGATAGGACAGCCGAGCTGAAACTAACAGATTGAAAAAGCCTTACAATTGGGTCATTGACACTTAAAGATACCAATGCATGAAGGACCAGTTCCTTCACCTTATCATGTATGGTATGGTTTCTTTGTAATGTGAAATGCACGCGTAAAAATGGAATTTGTCAGTACATAATTTTCGAAAATGAAGTGAAACGTCCGCCATGGACTCTATTACAACAAGTTTTAAAGCGGCACAGTCTTGAAAACCCCCAAAATGTATTTAATGAAACAATAGAAGTATTCAGGACTAATTAAAAATGTTCCTGTTTGTTGAGAAGTACTTCGTTCAGTAGTAAAATAAAGATATTTACGTTTCTCTGCCATAAAAAGACACAACGAAAAACCACTGCAACTTGATTAAATAGTTATCCTTATTTTAAAAGTTGTGATGTGTGTTTATTTTCATGACTTGAGACTGATCTATGTCTCGCTTTGTGAGAGTCCTTTTGCACGCACTTTTAACTGAGCCAGTTCCACCAGAAGCATTTAAAATCCTTGCCTTTGATTGGCTAGATTATATTTTCTGACCAATCAGAAACTAGCAATTTAAATGCTCCTTGAAGTGGTTAGGTAAGAGTGAATGGACAGGGTGTCTAATGTTTTTCTGCAATTTATGCGTGCGACAATTTGCGTGAAAATATTGCGTCTTTTTTTAGCTGCTCCTGGGTGAGAGAAGATGTTTTTAAAAACGTCGTTCATAATAAAGTAGCTCATTCAGTGCAAAGACTCACTATTTTTGTCTGTCTTCAATTCGTTCACTGTTGCATGAAGAAAAATCACCTTTGCTAAAGCCGGACCATACGATCGTATTTAACCTAAAGACACAAATAACAAGTTTTCACTTTACATAATCTTCGAGAGAAAGATTGATTTTGCACTATCACTTCCCGTGGGTGTGTATATACGCTGTCACAGTTTCGTAAATAATCTGTTAAACAGCGTTGTCCCCCGAGGTTTGTTTACGCATCTGTCACTGGTAAAAGCCAAGTTACAAAGGAGACGAGATCTTAATTTTATATTTAGCAGAATCAAAGCAAGCCGTTTGGAGAAGAGTTTTTAAGTATACAAAGTACATAACATTCAAGACGTTAAAGCGCCTTGTCCGGGTCAGCGAGGAAGATTCTGCCCTCGCGCTATATCTGCCGAAAAAGTACTTAAGTCGACCTTCCAAAGCGCTTAGTTTACGTTTTTACAATAGCTTTAGCTTGTTCGTGATTTTCAGCAGCTGTTGTTTGTGTCCAAGATCATACGTGTAACCTCCAAAAAGAGGGCCAGTTTCGGCTTTCTCGCAGTGACATCAAGGTTAAAATATTTCATACCAGACCATGAGAAACGCGGTCCACAAAATTTTGACTACGTAGGTAAGTTTAAGCTAATAACACGCCGAGACAGTAAATTTATATCTTAAGCGTACAGAAAATTTAAACAAATTCATTCTGTGTTTAACTTCCTTAACTGTTTCTCGTTTCGAGAGCGAGGACTTATCTTGCCGCAGGCGTTAACTTCAAAGGCCAAGAAAATGTTCTCTCTCTTTCATTACACGAGATTGAAAATTAAAACATCACGAAAGATCACCAGGGCTGAAAGAATATAAAATGCTTTGCCATGTTCAGTAAAACGTCCCAGCTTTTATCGTACAAGGCCAAGTTCATTGGCGAGTAATTTAAATAATAACTCTGGTCCATATTATTGCTATAAAATAAAGGATCACTTAACAGGCTTTCAGAAATAGGAAGAACGAAAGTTAAAGCACGTACCAACCCTTTATCCGGTCGTGGAATTGCGCGAAAACACAAACGTTGCCTCGTGTAGGCTATATTGAGAGTTCACAATACGCAGATCATCTGTAAAGGACTAAAAATCAAAATTTTCAATATTCCCCTTGTTATGCAAATAAAGGTCTATTAGCAATGCAGGCCACCCGTGCCCGACCAGTCAAAAAACAATAAAAGCTCGGGCAATATGAAGGGGATATGGTTATTTATTCAAGGCTGGCTTATTTTCTCAATTTTACGCCACAGTTAACACGTTGCCAACTTCGATCAGGGACGAGAAATTGACACGTGGCAACAGTGTGGTTACGAGCCTCGAGTCATGAGTGAAAACGTGGCGCTTTTTATTAATACCAAAACACGGTGTTCTCAACAATCTATATAGAAAAACTAAATCAAGTGAGAATTTTCACTGAAATACCTGCCATAAATCGATGAACTTTTTCAGTGGGAAGTGGGAGGCTCGTCCTAATCTTAGATTTTAATATTTCAATTTTGTTTGATGTTTTTCTTCGCTTGATCGCGAACCTTGCAGCGTGTCAATCGATTGTGACTCGGAAATTACAGCTTCGCAATGTATTTTTTTTGTTAGCGTTCTCGGCTATTTGTGTGTAGCTTGAAAGGTGCGCTTTGAATATCTTGTCTCGTGAATAGAAAGCCAGACCAGAGTTTGCAACAGTGAAAACGACGATTAAAATCACTTTTAAAATTTGCGGTAAACCGCGTGGATATGTTAATAAAGAATTACACCAGTAGGAAATAAGCGCTCATTTCTTATGTTGCTTAGCTGCAATTGAATTTTAGCTACCACGCACATATTTCTCATGTGCCAAGCTAAACCGATATGATATAGAAAGAACAAAGATATTCTAAATGGCCACCACAATTAAGAGAATAACTCTTGAATTATCTTCACAAAGAAGCAGCTTTACAAGGCAACAAACTTTTAAGGCTGCAAAACCTAAGCATAAACTTCTTCCGCGAAGGAAAAGCTGAAATTGCCATAAAAACGATAAAACTTATAAATGGACCGTGTTAGAAGCCTGAGCTATTTATTTCCATAGTCTTGACAAAACCATTTTCTGTGTTGAATAATTTAGCTTAACGTTTATTTCGTTGAGTCGCCTTAAGCCAAGGCCGAAAACAAAAGATTAGATTGGTTCGTTTGTTTCCTCGTGTTCTCGGGTATTCACCATGTAGTGGGCGCTATTTATTAATTTTAACCTATTCGCTTGATACTTAATCGTTTAGCTATCTGTACAGCGAACCCAGGTCGGTTAAAATTGTTCAGATACTTAAAATATAACAAAATATCTCGATACTTATAATCGCTTCAGCCAAGATAACTATATATTATTATTACTAAGCTCAGAAAATCACTAAGAATATTAAGACAGGTTGCACTCATGTCCCGTAGAGTTAGTTACAAAGACACGGACCTGAAGGAAAAATACCTGAACCAATAGATAAGAAACAAACAAGTAAGTAAGTAAATAAAACATTTGCTAA